AGTAACCGGCGGCCAATCAATACAATAAGACCGCAATAACACTACAAATACAAATACTTTGTTACAAAGACATGCAAAGCAGCTACAATTGCTTCACATGTGAAAGAGTCATCAAAGCATTAATTGGAGTGAAGTAAAACATTTTCAATTCTTTTGGTGTAACCTTCGGCGAATTGTCTTTCTAGAAAGGAGCTTGTAAAGCAGATCAAGCTTGTTAGGATTGTGCTCGCATGCTCAATGCACATTCGAGTCAAGATATGGTAAGCTTAGGTTGGTATGGTATGGTATGGTATGCTATGCTATGCTATGCTATGTCCTGTACTCAGGGTTCTCCAGTTTCCGAGTGTTGCTTCGATAGCTTCCAAAAGGGGATAGGACAATCAACAATCAATGCAACAATTGATAAGAGATAAAAGATAAAAGATAAAAGAAAATCAAAATACAAGAGCTCTTATCGAATTTTTCCAATTGGGATTCAATTTCCATTCCCATGATTCCATACGATAGACGTGAGGTAGCATAATCATCCTGTATGGCTTTGCCCTTCCCAGCTCTCCATTTGGAAGGACTAATAAGCCAGCAAATTCTTTTTTTTTCGGCAGATCAGCAGATCAAGTCACTTTGTCACTTGGGATCCTCGACTTCTTACTTGTCAATGGCTTCCTAGGGATTGGTTTGGAGAGACACGAAATGCTCCATCCACGAGTATGCCACGGGAGTCTGATTGGATGCAGGAGAGATGCGGTACTTAGTTTGGAAAGCTCCTCTCCACCGATCGTAAAACTATTATTATTCGATGGATGGCATTGGCCGCATGAATATCGTGCCCAACGACTCACGAGGCACTTGCGTATGTATGAGGGATGTGACCTGACTAGCTATGGAAAGGGTAGCTTTTCAAGGCCCGACATTTGGCCTTTTGCCTGCTTTTGCCGCTGGTATACATACAGAAAGAGCAGTGGAGTAGGTGGGTGGCATGAGATGTTATTTCACTTTGAGACCATGACTAAATGAACGTGGGAGGTTTGGTGAGATGGATGAATGGGAGAGCTTGATTGCTACATCTACCCCGATGTTTGGTGCGATTTCTCTGACTCTTCGAATCAAGGTGTGAAGGTATGTATACTAAGTCGCTACAGCAAGTAGGTAGTACTCAAACGGATCGAATACTAGAGGATCTGCTTGAAAGAGAATGCTGGAGATCAGGAGTCAAGCAAAGTAAGCTCGGTTCATAGCAATCAGAAGGTACCTACAGTACCTACCTAGTATTACCTATCTAGTCCGAGTATATCTCTCCATGTTAGAACGGAGAAGCTCTCCACTGATGTTCTTGCAAAGCTCCAGAGATATCCCTTCTCATTGGCTCTCAAGTATCTAGTAAAGACATCTCAACTTCTAAAGAAACCCAGTATGTACAAGCATGGATAGAAAAGACAGAAAGGAAAAAAAAGGAGGAAAAAAGCTCTTATCCGAAGCTCTTTTCTTGACTCTTACCCCCACTAGTCAAAAGAGCAAAGAGCTTCCTTCTAAGATCTAAGTTTTGAGTTCCAACTGCTGCCCTTCCTTCCTTCAATTCCACCTAGGAAAAAAAGACCCCTCGCTCCAAAGATTCCTTCAGTGCCACACTCACCCTACTACCACTATTACTACTACGAGCAATACCTACCTACCTACGTACTACTCGCACTTACTCTCACGCTCACGCTCACACTCACGCTCACGCTCACACTCACGCTCACGCTCACACTCACACTCACACTCATACTCACACACACATTCTTTCTCAAACATCAATTGTGAGAAATCATTTGCAAAATCATAGCTCTGAGCTTCCATCTTTCTTGTATCTTTGTTCCCTTGAAAGAATCACATCAAGAGACCCTCCGCCCCCCCCCCCCCAAAAGAGATTACACCTCATATATTATTTTTATTAAATAATTATGCAAAGTTTTGCTATCAAGATTATACATTTTTAGAGATTCCCGCTTTCCCCCTCCCCTCCAGATACGAAACAACAGTGCGACGATACTGTACCGATCTACCTATCTACCTATCTTATCTACCTATTTTCCTCCCTACCCATTAACCATTACCACCCATATCCGATTTGGATCTGGTAATGATCGAGTCTACATTGACGATGCCTCCTCGTTCTTCGTTGACATCGTCCTTTTCCGTTTCCGATGCGAATAATGAAGTTGTTTGTCCATTGAGAAATCAAGATGGCTCCAGTTGTCGCAAACGTTGCCTCGGCGTGAGTGCCTCTACTCTGCTGTATCTGCTGTACCCCTTTGGAACTTATTTTCCTTTTGTACGGTTCAATCCGTGGTAACAAGCGAGTGAGATGGACAGGAAAAACGATATCGATCCATGCAAGAGCACATTAGAAGAGCTCATCCAGAGTATTACATCTCAAAGCTTCCTGCGACCGAAGAAAGCTTTCAACTCATGATCAATACCCCGCCCTCTGAGCGACCGCAACCGCAACCACCAACAACTGCCAACTCGGCTCCAACTTCAAATAGTCTGTAGAAATTTACGTGTCAATCATTGGTTGCACCTTGACTGATATGCTGTATACAGGTTTCACACAGGAGAGACAGAATCATTATGGCGAACATTCGAATCATTCGAGTACCCCAAATACTCCCAGAATCGTGGACGATAGTTCAATGCTTCCAGCCGCTAGCGCTGCAGCAACCTTAGCACAGCTACACAATCATAAATTGGATAATGAATGGGAATCCGAAGTGGTAGGTTCATTTTCTAGCTTGACTTTTCCAAATACAAAGAATGCAAAATATTAATTGGATTCATTTAGGATTGGATGTCAGATCACGAAGCTCATAAACAAGCAATGCGGGCTTCCATAGAGCTTCCCCCAATTCATTCCAACAAACTCGAGCCAACTAGCGATCCATTTTCACATTACAATGTTCACCGTCGCAGAGATCTTCTTCCTTCCATATTATCACCTCCAGGACGTTCGTCTACTCTTCCTCCACTTCAAAGAAATCCAAGCACAGGTCGTCCTCGAAAACAATCAGTGTCAAAGCGTGCTCGAGAGCCACAACATAGGAGGCAAAAATCTCGTGGGGAACATACTCATCTGCGACGCTTAAGTCATGATCGTAAAGCTCAATCTGCCGAACCTTCATTTTATGGTAAACGATGGGAAGATTTGATTGATGCTGCGACGTCGGCTACAGAAGATGTAGATGATGATAGAACACCGGTTCGTTCCCATGTGTAAATAAAAAGGCCTTCCTTGCATGCTAATGGAAATGCAGATTCCTCCATCCCCGGTTTCAGTGAATCGTGCTTCAATGCCCCCATTTTCCGCATCACAATTTCAAGGATATCAGGCTTCGCCACTACAACAAGCACTCACTCCACCATCTTATCAGGCTGAAGCCCCAGAACCTTTTCCATCAGTAGAGAGTGGTGGAAGTGGTGATCATTTCAATATTCGATCACAAGGGCTCTCGGATTCATCGCCAAGCTTCTCTGCAATAAATATACAGATTTACTGTGCTGCTTGCCAGAACGTTTCTTTCCTGAAAGAATCTTACGCATGTACAGAATGTATATGTGGTATATGCCAACCATGTGTCGAGGTTCTCGTGGCGGAGCAGGGAGCACGTAGAAAATGTCCAAGATGTGCCACCATTGGAGGACGATTCAAACCTTTTCAATTGGATATTCGTTAAATCGTTTGATGGAAATATTGGGTCTCAACAAATTGGTAAGAAAGGAGTTGGTCATTACGGGTCATCATAGACTGGATTGGAATTTTTGGAAGAGGGTATAGGCGTTTTGATTATTCCCAGGGTATCGAGGGTTACAAGACCACTCTTATTATGATTTTGGGTATAGGACGCATTACGAAGTTGTCTTTTGGCAATTTCGTACAAACATGTTTGATTTTGAGGCATGCATTTGTTGGGCTGATGTTTATAGTCATATTCAAAGAAAGATTTTCTCATTCAATATCTTGGAAAGCTATTGGAAGTTTGGCACCCATCACTTCGACCATTTACACAATTGGTGAGTCTTGACCGAGCTACTGGATGATTTTCATCAACAGTCTTTTTTCTTCATGAACTCGAAGCTTATGGGTAAGTTTCAATCACCGTTGGCTACCACCAATTTACTCAATTGGTAGGTTTTGTACGATAGGGGTGGCTCATGTCAGCTATCGTCTTCCCAGCAGGTTTCGGAATCTATTGATGAGACTAGCAAATTATTGTTACGGGTGAAATAATCAGTTGTTCAGCGCAAAACACGTAAAGATTGACAGTGAGGGTTGCTTTACGAATATGACTCCAAGCCATAAAAAGCCCGATTGGGACCCCAAATATTGAAAACCGAGCATGGGCTGAGGCTCAGCGGTATCGTTGAAGAAATGGCGTCTACATTTGGTGATGGTCTCCGACAAGGCTGTTCAAGACAAACAGCTGAACTGGATGATTGACCAATTGAAGTTGACAAAATTGGAAAAGCTGTACGACGATGATGCACGGGACAATTATCTGAGATGGTGATAGGGATCGTGATTGGTAGCTGACGTGAGGCATTCCCGCGTCTATGTAGGGGAGGTGGATAGGCCTGAAGATAGCTGACCTATTTGCTCGGTTCTGACCCCATCTGATGTGAGTTTTTGGGGGGTAGTAGGGCCATTTTGAATAACGGCGCAAAACTTTTGAGAGACGCGGGAGGGATCACTTGAAGATTATTTATACGAAATGATTTTCCCTATATTTTGTTTCCGAGATTGTTTTCCTTCATTGCTTTCTTCATTCTTGTAAAACCGAACTTTGCTCTTGTTCTACATTGAGAAACTTCTTCATATATACTTGGCGCTTAAATCTGCAATCCAACAAGTACCCCACCGGCTATTCACATTTGCCCATCTTGCATATCTCGCATATACCCCCTGCATATCATACTGGGTATATAGGAGATCGAGATCACTCTCACTCTCCCTATAGCGAGTTACAATGGTCTCTCATTATTTTGAAAGTCTCCCTGTTCCTCCTCTAGAAAATCTCAGCACAGAATATATACTCCAAGAAATTATCGACCACATTGGAAAACTCGCTGATGATTTCCCGCACACCAATCTCAATTTATTTCGCAAACAACTCTGGGATATTAGAAATCGGAATGTGCAGCCGAAAACTCATTTGCGAGGTTTACTGAGAGTGTTGGAACATACGCATACATTTAAACATGCCTTTGAGGAACTAGAACCGGGTTTGCAAGCGCAGATTCGAGCGTTTATGGATGATGAAGAGGATGTGAAGGAGGAGGAGATTATGGGGATGGGGAAAGTGAAAGGGGAGTTTTATATTCCGCCGTCTCCGGCGGTGAAACATCATTTTAAGGAGATGGTGAAGGAGACGGTGAGGGAGAAGGCGTATGAGCAGAAGATAAAGTTGGTGCATGATAAGGTGAGGAAGAAGATTCAAGAAGTGAGAGAGGAGATTGAGAGGGAGATTGTGGATGAGGTGGGGGGTCATATTGAAATATTTCAGAAGGTGGAGGATCATGTGGGAGAATTGTGGGGGAGGCGTGGGCATTTGGAGGCGTTGCTCAAGAGGAATCCTAAGGCTTCTTTGATGGAGAAGCGGGATGCTTCGATGCTGGGGAGTGGAATGTCGCCGAGGATCTGTGAGGATGAGAGAGGAGAGAGAATTATGGAAGTCCATAAAAATGCCCCCTTTCATAATTGGGGAAATAGTGTGAAGAATACTCCGCTTTATACTTTTGTTCCTACGACGGTTTTGGGTCTGTCAAATTTGGTCAAGTGGGCGAAGGTCGAGGGTTATAGGGTTAGATGTAGTGGGTACAGACACTCGTGGAGTAATACGTTCTCGCAGGATAAACAGATTTTGGTCAGCATGTTGAATTTGGAGAGTGTGGAGAAGATTCCGGATGTGATGAGTATTACAGAGGAGAAGGGAGATGTGGATTTGAATGGAGATGAAGTCGTAGATGCTAATGAGTTGAAGACGATTGAGTTGGACCCGAAAATTGAGGGGTTGAGTTTGACGGGGGGTGAAGAGGGGAAAATGCTTTGTAGAGTTGGAGCGGCGGTCACGAATGAACAGTTTAGGAGGTGGGCCGTGGGTCATGGGAAATGGGCGTTGCCGGTGGATGTTATTCTTGTTGAGTATGTTTGCGTTCCTGCTTCTGCATTTACATACGATTTCTCGCTTCCAGGTGTACTCGCGAAAATTCGATATTCATATACTAACACAAACAGAGTCACAGCAGGTGGTGTCAACGGTCCCATTTGTCACGGCGCCGGTCGTCGTCACCAAACAGTATCCGACTACGTTCGCGCCATCGAATATATCGACGCAAACGGAATCCACCGCACCATCACCAAACCCGCTCACCTCCGCGCCGCCGCAGGTTGTTTCGGACTCCTCGGTATCGTAACCCACATCACACTCCTCCTCTCCCCTATGACCTACGCCATTCTGCGTCCCACCAAACCCGACATCGCACTTGCCATTCCCCCCCTCTCTCCCACCGATATCCCCATCGCGCTGCGCAAATCCTGGACGCCCGCCCAATACGCCGACGCGCTGAGAGAGTTTGAAGATAAAGCCAACAATGACTATTATAGCGAATGGTTTTGGTTCACGCGCAGTCAGCAGGCGTGGGTTAATACGTGGAATGAGACGGCGGATGAAGAGGGAGTCGTGGAGTATCCGAGCCCGTTTGATACTTTTGTGCAGTGGGTTCAGGGGTGGGTGGGGAGTGTATTGACGGGGAGTGAGGTTTTTGGTCTGTTGCCCGGGAGGTGGCAGGCTTGTATTTTGAGTACTTTTGGGAGTGAGTTTTTACTTTTTTTTGTGGTTTGTGATTTGGGGTTTAGGGGTTTGTGGGAAGGGAAGATTTCAGGGTTAAGGAAGAAAGGAGAGAGGGGAGATGAATATTTTGAGGGGAAAAAAAAGAAAACCATATTCTAATAACTCGCAAATATAGTGGTCGCACTCCCCCCCTTCGAATTCAACGAATTCGAACAAAAGAAAACAGTCGAATACAAAACTGCACTTCCCAACGGTCTTCATTTCCGTCGCGGGGTAAGTTTCTCCTTCCCTCTTCTTCCTCCATCCCAAAATTCAAACCTAACATCCATCTTCCTCCTCAGATCCAAAACATGCGAGTCCGAGACCTCGAATTCCAAATCCCCATTCCCTGTCTCCCCAAATCCACTCCCGACTACACCATCGTGCGACGCGCCTGGTGGGATATCATCAATCTCTGCTATCGCGATGCGGAAACGCCCATGCGACTCACGCTCGAATTAAGAATTATGGGAGATTCGAATCTGATTATGGCGCCGCAGAGAGGAAATCGTTGGGGGACGGCGAGTATTGAGATTTTAAGTGTTCCGGATGCGGTGAGGGATGAGGAGTGGTTGCCCTTTTGTCAGGAGGTGGTGGATTTGTGGGCGGGGTATAAGGGGGTCATGAGTGTTGGGGGAGAGGAGAAACTTTTGAATGTGAGGCCCCATTGGGCGAAGGAGTGGGAGGGGGTGAAGATTAGAGGGAGGGTGGCGAGGGAGTATTTGAGGGAGGTGGGGTATAAAGAGGAGGTGGGGGAATTTAGGGGAGTGCTAGGGGGAGATTGGGAAGGAGCAGGGGTGGGGGTTGGAGGATTTGAAAGGGAGGTTTAGTAATGAGTTGTGGGATTATCTGGTTTTTGAGGGGGTGGAGGGGGATGGGGAGGTGCAGAAAGTTGAGGTGGTGGAGGGAAATCATGATAATGTGGTGAATGGGAAAGAGATTAAATCTCTTGGGATCGAAGGGCCGAAAATCAATGGTGCGGGGGAATTAATCGATTATTTGACGTTTGAGAAGAAGGGGAAGGGGAAGGAACAGGAACGAGAACAGAAAAATGAATACGGGATTAAAGTTGAGGAGGTAAAAATTGTTGAGGCGAAGGAGATTGTTAATGGAGTGAAAGAGGTGAAGGAGGTAAAGAGTCCTAGTAGTAGTAGTGTGCCCGTAAAGGCGGTTGGGATTCCGGGTGCTGATCATGCGCGTGGGGGGTTTTCCTATTAAGTTTGGGAGGTAGATTATTCTTTAGGGGAGGGAGTGGGTGGATGATTTCTTTGGGTTGGGGCTTAGACGGAAGGGAAGGGCAGGGCAGGAAAGGGGGTGTTCGTTAGGTATTAGGTAGTTTTTGCAATCTGTTGTTATGTTTAGCTTTATTTTATTTAGCTTTCTTTCACATTTCAATATCCTTTTCCTTTTCTAGATTGACTATCTACCTACCTACCTACCTACCTACCAACCCACATATACAAACGAAATTTCCAAACTCGAATAAATACACACCAAACACCCAACTCACTATCAGCAAAATATCCCTCATCTTCGATTTTCTCTTTCTCTTTTTCTCTTTCTTCCTCTTCCTCTCTTTACTAGCTTTCTATTGTTTTTAGCGTCGCTAGCTAGTGTCAAATCGATTTTCATCTTGGATCTTGGATCTTGATATTGTGTATAGTTTTATTTTTATTTTTGTTAGCTTGCTGGTTGTTTTGATTGTTGTTTATGCCAAATAGTATGAGAGATTGGAAATTGGAAATGGAAATGAAATTGGAATTGGAATTGGGATTGGGATTTCGTGGGCGTGTTGATATTTTCGGTGGTGGTGTATGGTATACGGCAAGGTTAAAGTGGTTGGGAAGATTTTTATGTATGTTTATAGTCATTCTTGGTGAGAGGAAGTAGATGTTGGGGGATTGGGGATTGGGTATATAATGGGGACAGGAGGTGGTGAAGGTTAAGTTTGAGATCATGGCTCTTTTGCGGAGGGTAAGGATAGCGATTACTGGATGGTAGGTTTGGGGACGAGAGATTAGAGATTAGAGTGATATGTGTTGATCAATTGATTAGTTGTATGTGAGATTTATGATTTACTGCAAAGTAGATGTGGGATATGATGTCTAGTGGGAAATTATTTGTGGCTATGTTTGGTGTGGTAGTACTTTTAAGATGTTTAATATAGTTGTGATTAGGGGGTTTTAGAGAATGAGGTTATAGCTATACGTAGAAATTTCATTGGAGTTGATGCGTAGCATCGAAGAAATTGTATCAAAAATACCCGATCTTATTCGTGGCTGTAAAGCAGAAGATTCGGAAATATAATCGTGAGTACGCCGTCGCAGATAAATGTTTCGATGATTTGACTACTAGGCTAGGGGTGAATGGCCTCGCTAGAGGATTTATACGTTGTTGAGGGGGGTAGTAGGACCCACGAATAAGATCGAACGTTGAATAACTAAATTTTTGAGGCGATTCTGGGTAGTGGAAGATCGGGACTTGGGTTGATATAATGGAATGAGGAAATGCAAGGTGGAATAGATGAGCATATTGAAAAGGGAAACTTAGACCAGGGTTCATCTACCATTATCATATATTAGTTAATATCAAACATAATCTTTAGATTATTCATTGCAAGATTTCTGCATGCCAGTAGAATTTGATGATACCTATATATCTATGATAACACAACAGATAACCAATTATAGATCACAACTCACTGCATCAAGGCTAACCTAAGCCTTCTCGAAAGAGAGGCTAATGCCCCAAATCTTCCACTCTAAGCTGTGCGTCAGTCGCAACCGCCGCGTTGCAATCACTTGATAGAGCACCGTTAATCACCTTATATGGAGTAATAGAATCGATCGATGCAAACACACCTCTCACGCTTTTGCCATCATTGGTGGGTGTTGTGTACTTTTAGAGATTTGGATAGGGAATCGATTGAGTTGATCATAAGGATTGCAGTGATTGAAAATGAAAATTGAGAAAAGATATTAGCTAGGAATGGAACTTCAGTTAACGCTGTGGAACAAGATTCAGGTTATGTGTACACTATTCAAGTAAAAAGAAAGCATGAGAAACTCAAAATATCTTATATTGAGAGTGCTACGCAGACAATTGGTAAATCAGAGCACATAACATTTGCTGATACACTCGATATACTTTTAGATTTCAACAAATAATAACAAGAATCTAGCATATTGCCGTATGATTGAAGCACAGAATGGAATACTGAAGCGGTAGTCCTTTTCTCCACGCCTTTTTGCGGATGATCTACATAGTGTCTAAGGGACCAACATGTAGGTGCTACGCCTTGCGAATACATCCTTCCTCCTTGTATATAGTTTGCAGATTCTAGTCTACAAATTTACAATGCTCTATAAGTCGGACTCGGCAATAAACACAACGGTTTTATTGAAGAGTTCCAAGATACTGCGCATCTCGCCTCGAGATGATCTTCAGAACCCCTCCAAACGCAGCTCTAAAACCCGAGTTCATTCGCGCTTCAGAATAAGAATTGCCAGATTATATGAGATTCTTCCCATCGAAATAAGTATAACTCATTGCATCAAGATCGATATTCTTAAAGTTTCGTACCTATTCGATGTTAGTCCGTGAATGATACTCCTTCAGGGTGATATTTCTTGTTTTATGTACGTCAAGGAGTCGACTCTCTACCCACTACATTTTTCGATATTCAATACTAAAAATTACAGAAGCACTAGCTTCCAAACATTTACGAGCTATGCAAATTTGGTTATTTCCTAATACACAATCCCCAAAGTTACCAGAAAAATAAACTCACATTGAAGCCCACCATATCCTTTCTCGGATCCGTTTCCCCAAACGTTTCTGGTCGGCGCAGATCAATCATAACACTACTTCCGCAATTTTTACAGAATCTGTGATCTGCAACTTTATGACCCCATTTATACGATCCCATCTTTTCCTCCGAGTCTAGTACTTCGTTAGATACATTCTAGGATAAGATAACCTGCATTGCAAGAATGGGGGAAGGAAGGAAAGAAACTCATTCTTACCACCCAAAAATTTAACATCTCGTCTCATGGGGTAGACTAATAAATATCCGTTACGAGTACAGATCGAACAAGTACATGAATTAACGGTGTATTTGGGAAATGGCCATTTGAGTGTTACCGTAAACTGAGGTGGTGTTAGTTAGGGGTTTTCGTGATACGAGTTGTACACAATTCGGTGTAGTGTATATTGTGGAAAGGAGAATACTAACAGCAACAGCACCACAATGACAACTCCCCTCATGCGTAGTCCTTTCCTCATCCGAAGTCTCCTCAACCTGTCCAAAGAATTCCGGTGAAAAAGGTTTATATTCACGAGTTACGATTTTAGGTTCTGGCTGCGCGTGAGGTAACATGTTGAAGTAGAATGAAATGATTGATCGAATTCTCAATTATCGAAATAGATTTCTATATACAAGAAAACTCGAGAATGGGCAAGGAGATATACAATAAGTCTTTGTATGAACGTTCATATATAAATAACAGATAAAAGAGGGGAGTGGAGTATATACACACATCACCGCGATTTTAGCTCTGCGTGCCACAGCTTACAGTATGTGAAGTGGGGAATTACCGAGATTCGCGCTTCGAATTCATCTTGCTTTCACATTACCTATACGTAAAATCGATATTGTTATTCTACTCGGAAGTTCTCAGTTGTAATCTTACAACATAGCAAAACTTCTCTATAAGAATTCTGGAGATAACCCTAAGGACAACCTCTCTCTCTGTAATCCTAGGATACCATTTTGGATCCAATTCTTTAGGCTTAGAAATAATCTGCATCCTTAAAATCCTATTTATAAAGATATCTTTATGCAGAGGCTTTTTAACAGCAATTGACGGTACGACTAGACAAAGTCCAGATTTCTAAAGATAAAACGGTAATAATGATGGTGATTGATTGGTACAGCTGATTTTGATAGGTACAACATACATGTCCGCTAAGCCTGTTCAGGATTACTATAACATTCCATCAATTAATCAAATTATTCATTATTCATCTTCTTTTTCTATTGGAAACATCAAATTCAGTGCAAGCATACCCAGTAGGACAAGTGCCCAATGATTAGACTAAAATACAACGACTTGATGGTTTTCAACCTTGTATCTGTGTAGCGATAATTTCGGCTTCCTCGAAGATTCAATCAAGCTTAATCACAAACTAGACTACAGTGCCGACTACTGAACTTCCCAGCTGTGATACAATTCTTTCTGAACCATTAACCTTACTGTGGTCTTCTTACTGTGATTTTCTTACGATGTCACAACATACTTATCCGCCGCGAACCTAAGCTGACCTTTTCTCCGTAATCCAGCAGGATCTACATACAATTTAAGCCCTATACCCAGAGCTCCAAGATTAAAACCCCTAGCAACCAAGTAAACTTCATCTAATAGCTGATCGGATTGAAGTTTCATACTTTCCATCCTGTCGAGTTGACCCTGGCTACAATGGAATGCATTATCGAGTGGTCCAGATGTTGTTTTAACTTCGATATAGTATGTAGCTCCTTCACGGCCCTCGATGTGAATCGCCCTTCAAGTCCAAGTTCAACCAGAAATTTATTTATAGAATGAACTCTTTTAATGAATTTCAAGCACATTGATCTTGTCTTTAAAAACATCATCGTGCTCTTTACAATCGACAATTGCGAAGGTATCAGTGCTGTCCATCCATTCAACCTCCTGTGATGGTCGATATAGTGGGAAACACTTGCACTTGGAAAGTTTGTCTCGTAATGCCACAGTCGGATTGAGTGCGCATATGTTTCTTAGCTCGCGTAGAATGCCCTCCTCATCTGGGTTCTCGAGAGCGCGTTTTTGGGGCGCAATAATGTGCATTTCTAGATTTGGCTTCTCAACACCTAACACATTCCGAAAGAATGTCCGTTGATTCCTGTATTCGGTGGCGATAGAAATCTTCTCTGGGAGCTGGATATCCTCTGTGGTCCAGACGCACGATGATGGGGCATACCACAACTTGTTTGGAGGGTAGTAAAGAAGCCTGCCTTCCTCGATACATGATCTGCTCGGTTAGAAAAGACCATTTGCTAGCTTGTGTAAAATATGCACTTTACTATTTCGGTCTCTCCGGACTTACTATCACCCCCCCTTAATTCATTGAGCTTATCATATAGCAAGATGATTTTGTTCTTCTGTTCGTTGAGGTCGTTATTGGATTTGTTTTGGTCCTCAATTTTGATATGTCCCAGGTATTCCAGAAAATCGCTCCATGTGGCATCGGAAATGCCGAGAGTATTTACAAATAGGGCTTGTAGTTTCTGGTATTCATTGATGGGTTGAAGACGAGGCTTGTGTTCATACTACTCGGGGCCACTCCATAGAAAATCAACTTTAAACTTCCACTCCCAGTCATCCATAGAATTGGAGTTGGGAACAAAGATCACATCCTCTTCAAAAGCTTTCCTAATAAGCATTAGTTGATCGGATTATGCTAGAATATTTCTAGGCATTGGGTGACTTACTTGATTTCTATAATATCTAACTCGTCAATATAGGGTTGTAACCTTGAATAAATTCTGAAGACAATACTGGGGCTGATTAAATCTTTCTGTCTAGCTTGCTTTAGTAACCTCAGCCAAAAGGAAACATCTGCATCCACCCCAACTCCAAATCGCTTGAGGAAGTTCCATTTGAAAACCTCAATTTCAGAGATACCATCCAAATCCTCCAAAAAGTCGAAACCTTCTTCTAGTCCCAGAATTGAAGCGATACCTTTGAGCTTTGATACTAGTAGATATGTGTCCTTTAGACTCATCATCGCCGATGAGGCAAGGATGGGAACCTTCCTCTGCTTGAAGAAATTATCCCATTTTTGCGTCTCATTGTACTACACCCAATCTGCTTGCAACGCGCCAAGCATACATTTCAGAAGGTCTTTTAAAATGTGCTTGAATTCCAATCGAAAGTTTGGGATCTGAAGGATTCTCTCTACGGCGTATTTGCGGCGTCTCTTTAATCCCAAGAGACCGAAGCCACTCGATTCCAGTGTGCCTATTTCGAATGCCACAAGCTTCGAGGGGGCTGTAGTAACTTTTCCCTGTATATCTGACATGACTGCCATTTTTCATTTCAAGTGGTATAGATTCACCAATAATTTTGATCGTTGTGCATGCATGATCGGATTCCCTACAATAAATCCAATCGCCGACATTGGTATCATGTGGTAAAGAGCATTCCCCATTCCATAACCACATGAATATTGAATAATAAGCTGGAAGCTTTTCATGATGCCAGAAAAGGAATTTGATATCGGAAACAGAGTCAATCTTCCGAGTGGGGAAATTATACCGTTGCTCAATGAGAGGAAACATGCGTTCTGGTGAACACTCAGCTACTCCAAGTTGCGAAAAGAGCTTTTCCCTACTCGTATTTTCAAGTGCTTTTCCATCGACCAAGTTTAGAGGTAGATCCTTCGGTATGTCAACCCCACCCGAAGTTGGGAAAATTATACTCGCATTCAGTGGACGAGCCCACGTTCCACTGTCAAGCGGTATGATGTTCAGCTTTTGTATCTTCATTTTATTGCTATCATCCTGACTCATACTAATGAGAAGATTTGACATTCTCGTATGCCAAAGGCTGCTCAAAGGCGTAGTTTTCATTCGAGAATCATGAATTCCAACAAGATCTTCGTCTAGTCTTTGCAAAAATTCACCAGTATTTAGACGCTTTGCTTTCATCTTTTCCAATATAGGGATATCAGAAGGATCGTAGGGCTCCGAGACGTATGCAGTTGTGCCTGCAATAGTATCTGCCAGTAGAGGATCGCAATGTTTGTCTCGAAAGGTGTTCTGCAAAACCCGCAAGCGATTAGTGTCCAGCGAGATCCATCCAGAGAAAAGAAGAATTTACTGCTGCAAAGTCTGTTAAACAAGCGAGGTTGCAGAAGCCCCCAAAATTCGTCTGTAATAGCATTTGCGGGGATATATCTGATCCAGCTGTATCGAAGTGCGTTGTACTCAAGAAACCCATTGGGATCATTAATTGCGCTGCGGAACGTTGCAACCACTTCCTCGAGTAATTGCCTATTCCACGCAGAATCCACAATATCTTCTCGGCTGGCTTTGGTAATAAAATCACATTGTATGAGAAACTTATCGTTCAAGTTAGCTTCAGTATTCACAATTGTACATCTTCCAGCTTGGCCAACTTTGTACCCGGTTTTTTTCAAGGGAAGGAAAGCAAAAACATCTTGTTCTTCAATGTCGGATACATGATCTTCATTAATAGGAAAGGCTAGAATGACTTCAGCTTCAAGAATTTTGGCACGAGCGGAATTAGCAGGGAGATTGACGACGCGGCGCTATTTGACCCAGAAACTCTTATGTTTGACAGAATTGATTGTGCCCGTGATTGCGGTTTTAATCTGAACTATGTTTTCAGAGAGACCATTGTTTTTTGGACGCATCAGAGAGAATTGGACCTTGTGAACATCCCTATCATGAAGTTCAAATTTGACAGTCAGTTGCTGTAGTTTTTTGAGAAACAGTAGTAGTGTGTTTGGCAAATTTAGCAAATCTTGACACAGTGCCTCTCGATCTTTACAAGACCATCCATGTTCGAACATCATCGGGAAGCTCATGTGGGGTCTCATTCATCGGCGTAACCATTCCAAGTCCACAATCTTTGGAATCCTCCTTGGAATATTCAAATGCTAAGGAATAACGCCCGGGCTGGATATGGACTTTATGAGCAACGTTAAAGACAGATTTGAAGCCGATGCCCTTTTCTCCAATATAGCCTCGAACGCATGCTTTAGTACTCTCGCCAATAGAACATGTAGCATTGATGTCCTTCCGGGTGAAGCCATCTTCGTTGGAGTCTATAATGAGGCGGTCCGAGTGGAGAGTGAAAGACAAGAAGGGTAACTTGTTTGAGGCTGTGTATCTGTTGTCTTCCGCATTTTGAATAATCTCGTAGATAAAGCGAGTAGACTTTTGATAGAGCTGTTCAGCCAAAGTGCAAAAAGTTAGCAAAGTACGATTGCTTTCAGGTAACACGAAATCACCATTGACTATGAAAAGGGCGAACATTTGAGTCGAGACCCCGAGCTTTCTTAGCATATTTTTGATTGTCTGCAGGACTTCAGGCAATTCACGTTCTAGAATTTCTTCATGCTCTTTTTTGATTCCGCCATTCTGACGTTGTAGATCGTCAATGAAATCTCTGGCTTCTTTGAGATCTTCTTGAGAATGATTATTCATACTGATTGATTCTAGTCGATATCAATATCAATGATGAAGATTTCTTAAAAAATTTCCAAGTCGAAAGTAGTGCTTAGCCTATACACGCTTGAAGCTAGCTAGCTAAAGTCCACTAGGGTTGAGGCTAATTAGTTGTAGCGAACCTTGAGCAAATATCTACTTTTGATTTCAATCATGATATTAGCATTGACTGTGAATATCTGGAGTTCAAGGTGCATCCCATAAATGCACGCAACTACTGATGCTTCTCTCAAATCCTCCTGTTTCTCAAACTACACGGCCTTGGCTTTCACCTTCCTTAGAATGAAAAAGTCGAGTGGAGATTCAGGACTGATTCTTACTATAGATCAGCGTTTCAATTCATAATCTTGTGGCATGTATGGAAGTTTTAGATATTTGTATGTTCATTCATCAATCCCCAGGTATCTAATCTAACTCCGTCTACGTCTCATCTTCACATCTCCACTAGGAATCCAACACACCATCTAAAATCTATCCACTACCTCTCTATCACCTCCACTCCCGATCCCCCTACTCCCTCTGGTAGTTATATCGTAGTCTATGTATACCTTAACATATCCCCTCCTACCCACGCTATGCTCATGCCTCTTAAGTTTTAATACAGACGTATCTCCTTTCTTATGCATGCGCGCGAAAAAAAAACGTAGATAATGAATCAAATCCTCCCCAAATCTCGCTCGCTTAAACTCTTCCTCATGTTACGTCTTATGCCTCATCAATCCAAACCACATAGCTCAGAACGCTACCCCAGTCCAAAAGATCCACCTGATGCAAATAATATGATGACGCAAACAGAACCACCTTCTAGCATTGACCCCGATCATCTCGTTGAAAACAATCCAACCCGCTTATCTTGCATAGCATGTACTACCAATATGTTGGTCAGTCACCTCAAACAAGCATTTCATCCTCATCGTCTTTCTCCGCTCCCTTCATCGCCAAATCGAGAAACGTGCCTGATTTCTTCCTATCCGGTAGTTTTTGCCCCGTGGCCTTGCCCTTCACATTTTTCTTGGGCGCAGCTTCATGACCCTCAGCAACAGGGGCCGCTTCTTCATCCGTTATTGTAACACCTTCTAACAACATCTTTTCCACGGCCTTCTCGCCCGCTTCTTCGCCTTCTTCGCCTGCCACTCTCCCATCCAGCATCAACTTGCTTCTACCCATTTTCCAAATGGCTTCTTCAATGGTACCACGAGTGACTAATCTGACAACTTCCACATCACGAGTTTGTCCCACGCGATGAGCACGATTCTCTGCTTGCACGTCATCTTGAGGATTGAAACTACCATCGAAAATGATGACTTTGTTGGCATACATCAAGTTAATGCCCGTTCCACCTGCTTTAGTCGTCAAGAGAAAAGCCGTAATATCAGTATCATCCCTGAATCTTTCAATCAAAGATTGACGCTCATCAATCTTGGTGGCACCATCGATACGAGTGTATGTGATCATGGAAGTGTTTAATACAGATTCCAGAATATCAAGAACAAGCGAGAATTGTGAGAAAATAAGAACTCGATCCCCATTCTCCTTGTATTTAGTCACAAGTTCCACTAAAGCAGATACCTTCCCCGAATCCATCCATGCATTCTTCTTAACGTCGAAAGATTTGATACATGGATATAATACACACCACGTGTGTAACCAAAAGTCCGAAGCATTGCGCATTTCTTCCACAAGATGGATTCGTTTAGCAGAGGGAGGGAAATTATCTGGCTCTTTCTTTCGTAGGATATCGACCATTTTCTCAATCTTCTCATTTGTAAAGTGACGTCTGAAAAGTAGCGGGTGAATAGCTGCTTTGCGAAGTTGCATGATGGGGTTATTTTCTTCAGACTTCAAAGGTGGCATTTTGACACCTTCAAGACGCCTGCGTGCCCGTTCTTTCGCTGCATCTGCATGCTCGTTGTAGATTTTAGCCTGCGTTGGCTCCAAACTACAACGTTCAACCCGACATAATTTTGTAGGAAGATGCTTCAACACTTGATGCTTCTTCCGTCGTAGGACGAATGGAGTCAGCATAGATCGGGCTCGAGTAATACGTTCGGCAGAAAGCAAGGCTCCATGATCAGTATCTCGAGTTGTTGCTTTTGCTTTGAAAATGTAATTCAAGTCTTCTTCTCGTTCCTTGAAAACATCTGGAAGAATGAATGCAAGTAAAGTAACCAATTCGACCAGGTTATTTTGAAGAGGTGTACCCGTAAGTAAAAGCTTAAAGCTAGCAGGAATTCTATTCAGAGCTTGATTCTTTTGAGTTGCTCCATTCTTCAAAATATGACCCTCATCACAAACAAGAACCTAATGCTACTTAGTAATTGAAATCAGATTAAGACTTGTTGAACACTTACATCAGCTCCCAATTTTCGGAAAAATTTGTTGTCGGCAGGCTTGACAGCCATATCGTAGGTAGAAACAATGACATTAATCTCATCTCGATTCTCCAATATGGATTCAGCCAACTCGACACGTTCAGCCGCAGGACCTAAAAGATAATTAGTTAATGCCCCCTCAGATACTTGGGACGAATCCATCTATGTTGAACTTACCGTGATAAGGTTGAATAGCCAATTTGGGAGCAAACTTCTGGAATTCTTGACACCAATTCTCAAAAACAGCAGCAGGACCAAAAATAACATGAGGACCTGTCCGACCAGTAGCCACAAGATGCGAAAGAAACGAAATAACTTGACAGGTCTTTCCAAGACCCATGTCATCTGCCAAAATACAACTCAGGTTCTGCTCGTACATCAAATTCAACCAATTCAAGCCAACGATTTGATAATCTTTCAGAACGACTTCATCTGCCATAAGCGAGGGCTTCTTCAAAAATTCGACACTCGCTTTCCTGCGTTTGGCAGATACGATCTTGTCCTCATCGGCATTCTCGCCATTAGTAGATAACGTGCTGCTTGGAGTGCCAATTCCGGAATCACGCTGAGAATCTGCATCCTCGAAAGATACCAGTTCAATACCTTCTCCTTCCTTGCGAGTACCAAAAGAATTGAATCCCCATTTTGCCATCTCAGCCTCCAATGGCTTTGCAAGATCCTCACATCTTTTAACGAGGAGATCCACAGCCTCGTAGCCAGAAAACATTTCCAAAGCAGTTTCCACGAGACGTTCGCCCATAGGAGCTTTTGCACTTCTCTTGCCACTTTTCAAAGTCTTAACATTTGACACATTTCTCGCAGCATCAAGACTCCTGAAAGGTCGACTGTCCAACATTGCTTGCGCGTTATTCTTGGTGGTATTGGTAAGTTCGATAAGATCATCCAATGTGCATTTGTTCAAGTACTTGAGTAGTCGATCCTCAAGAATTGGATCTTCTTCGATTTCCTCCTCCTGCTCAAGGTCAGAATCATCATCAGACATATCTATGATAACTGGAGTTGAAGCCAACTTCACGGGAGACTTGGCTGGAGATTTGACTGGAGAGGAGGCAGCTGCAGGTGAAGTTGGATCTCTACGTCCTTTCATAAGTCTTTTCCTTGTTTTTGGTGGCGTGGTAGCTTGAGCTGGTACTTGAGCCGGTCTTTGCGTAGACTGGTTTTGAGTAGAAGTATATCGGTCCCTGATTGACTTGATAGGTTTCGCTAGACCTCTTCTCATCTGTGGTTCAGCCATTTCTGAGGCAGCCATCTCTTGAACTTCATCCTCATCGTCGGAAACCTCAATAGGTTTATCTTTTGCAAGCAGGCTACAAGCAGCATCAAACTCGTTTTTAGTCACGAGCAAAGCATCCTTGACCTCCATAATAGATACCCCTGGAAAGATGTCCTTGATGCGCTGAGCCTTCATCCGAAGCTCACCTTCTGGAATGTCATTGATCGAAATATCCTGGACTGGCCTGGCTCTCTCTGGACCCTGTTGTTTCATGCCTTTCTGTGGATTATACACAGCCTTGGCGAGAGCGTTTTGAAATTTAGAATTGCCGTTAAATGATCGCGAAGCATCTGGATAACCTGTAGACCCAAAAGAAGCACTCTTTGAAACGAATGATGTAGGCTTGATGTCCACACTGGTTAGTTCGTCATCATCATCAGAACTATCTCCAACAAATGATGGTTCCTCATCATCACTGTCCAAGTTGATAATCTTCCTTGGAGGGGCGATGGGTTTTTGATTGATTCCAAATGGTGCTCTGTATTGAGTTCCAGCAGGTGCCATTGCAGATGCGATAAACTTTCTTGGTGTAGGCGATTGTCGTAAAGGTGATGAAGCAGGTACTTGTACACCATTCAAGCTGTTGATATTTGGAGAACTTGGTGGGTATGCCAGCGAAGCAGCTCGATCGATTATCTGGGTAGCTTGAGTCTCGAACTTCTTGGTAGTGGGTCCAATCTGCGTGGGTTGAGTCTCGAACTTCCTAGCAGCACCTATGATCTGTGTAGGTTGCGTTTCGAACTTCTTCGCTGTTGCTGGTGTATCGGGCACATAGTCCTTGAAAATATCATCCCCATCATCCGCATCTGAATTGTAGGTATCTATGTTTCTCACAGAATTGTTGATAGATGTATAACCTGATTCAGTTCTTTGCCGTTTTATCGCAGGCGAATCAAGTGTAAGAGAGGGATTGGGAAAATTGGAAGCCATAATTCGTTTCTGTCGTTATATTCTTGGAATGAGAAATCGAGATCGTTTCGTCCTTCGACGAGAAATTAAAAGAGGATAGAATTGCAAGTTGTAAAAGCAACAATTGAATGAGGTTAATATAAAGTTGGATCTTGGTCGACGTAGATTCGCAATCTGCAATGGTTTCCAGTTAAAATCAAGATTCATCCAGGTAAAATATCCAGAACATTCCTGATCAATCAAGGTTGCGTTCCCAGAGATTGTTGCAGTACAAGAAGACGAAGAGAAAGAAATCTTGCGAACTGGCGAGACAGCAGACAGCGAGATGGCAAAGCCGTTCACCTTAACTCCCCAGCTTATTCTTTCAATGCTCCCCCAGACAAAACAAAAGTGAATTTTCCAAAATGAGCTTTTCTCGTACCTTCTTATCAATATTCCATCAATCTTGACCCTTCAATCTTTGTGTCGTTCTTCTTTATCCTGCCCTAAATCTGACCAACGATAACTAGGTCGTAGAAATAACTTTTGACTTTAGTAAAAAGGTCCACTATCGGTCAATGAAAAGACACGCTAACACGCTAGTAAAAATCCAATTAACGCGTTCCCCATCTTGTCCTTTTTCGCGAGTTGCGCGAAGTCAGCAGTGTCCACTTCCACTTGCACTTCCTAATTGATACATATATATATCAAGTTGTTCCACAAAGCTAAACATTCAGATAGATACTCAAATCTATAAGAAAAATCAATAATTACAATCAGATTTCAATAACATCATAGAACAAAAATCAATTATCTATCTATTTTCCATTAAGTATTCAAAACATATATCTACTTCAATCCTTTATACCCCTCACCTCCTCACAAACCAATCCAATGGCGACCCAAAGACGAACACCCCACGACCGCATCGCCGCCGGCGAAGAAAAAGAAGCAGAATTCAAACCTGTTGCTGGAGCAAAGAGTAATATTGCACCTGCAGTTCCTGCGTATGTGTTCCATGTTTACAATATGTCTCGGGTTCATATCAGCCTCATGATTATCATCACCATCACATGTCTCTCCTCACATTCACTCGTCTCACTCCTACCCCTTCCAATCTTCACATCACATGAACAATCCACCTCAAATTCCCAACCCCCCAACTAAAATCCCCCTCACCAGCCATGTAATCTTCAAGCTCCTCGGATTCACCCTCGCCATGATCGTCGTCCCAATAGGATCCTATTTCCTAACTCTAAATTCTATCTTCCGAGGTATTTCTCCCTCTTTGTCTTCCTTCCCATCCCGCCCCCTCTTCCCCAACTCACCTAACACCCACTCCAGGAAACTCTACCTTCGCCGGCGCCACCGCCGCCATCATGGCCAACGTCGTCCTCATGGGCTACGTGATCGTCGCCATGCGAGAAGATCAGAGCGAAGCACTTGAAGCTGCCGCGAAGGAAGAGGAATCCAAAAAGTCTTTGTAGACGAGGAAGTTTTTTTCGAGTCTCGTATGGGGATTTTCTTACGAGTTTGTACGAGGGCTTCCTTGCGAGTCTGTACGAGGATGTTGACGAGTCTCACACGAGAGAGTCTTTCCCGAGTCTTACATCATACATGACGCGAGAGGACTATCTCCCACTCCTTACACAAGAACCCTCCCTCACCAAATCTTGCAATCGAATAAGAATCTTTCCTTTCTTTCATTACCAAAACGAGGATACAACTCCCGAGTTCTAATCTATCCATCTCAAAAGGTCTTTCAGGGGTTTCTTTCACGGCTCTGGGCATTTATCATCTATCTATCATCATTTGATTTGACGAGAGAAAAAAAAAGGTCAAATCCAATCAGTTGACCATGACCACGAAGTTGGTAGTGGGTAAAGATATCGAAACAATGGGAGAAGAAAACTCATAAAACGAAGTATAGGTATAGGTCATACATATGAATGTTTGGAAACATTATGATCATGAGAATGACTTCCATGGTTGTCTGAGAAATGATCACATTAAAAATAAGTCATGTGTCAGTCAGTCATCTTGTATAGAAAAACTAATAATCACACAATCACAAAGGTCAAGTGATAATGGCGAAATAAAATCATAAATATTCCAAAAATTGGGTAGATAGAAGTTTGTTGAACCATTGTGAAATATGTAGACCGATAAATATTCATCTTCATATTCAGGCCATCCACATGCAAAATCATTGACTCCAAGCATCACCAACCATCATCTTCTAGGCAAAGGAGCCAATTAAGGCCAGACATAAGGCCTGCAAACTCACAGCTCCTTTCCTAAACCAACTTTTGGGAATAGTAGTAGTGGTGGACACAAAGAAATACAACACCAGACGCCTTCTGATGCAAAAATAATCCAACCGCATCCAAGTGTATTCCGTTATATCCCTTGGCCCCCACACCCCTATGTTTGCCCGTCATGAATATCATTAGAACAAAATCAATACCATACATCCAACAATCCACTCCAAGATTATTCTCTCCCTTTATCCGTATTAGATGGTAAATAGCGTGATAGATATTGGAGGATGACCAGCATCTATCTTATTTATTCTTGCTCAACCTTTTTCCAAACCAACTTTTCCGTTTCTCGGGTTGGGGTTTGGCCTCTGATTTGGTGATTTGAACGACCGATTTTTGAGGTAAAGAATTTTCACTGGTGATACCAAGATTGATTGGAGTTCGTGGTGTACTATCATTGCTAGAGGGCGTAGGTCCTTGGCCAATCTGCTGTCTTCGGGCTCCGTTTTGTTCATTGATGTTGCTTCCAGGTGGAAGGTATTGGGGGTTATTTCCGAATCCATTGAATCCATATGTCTCCGCAGGTTGTTGTGGTTGTTGTGGTAGCGCATGCAGTCCATCTACTGAACTATTCAAGCTGCTGGGGTCGGTTGAGTATTCTGGAGCTTCGCCAGACATTCCACTACCGGAGGCAGTTGTCACAGTTTCATATGAATGTTGCTGGCCTCCAGCTGCGGTGTAAACACCGCTGTTAAATTGTGGCTCTGATGCTGTTCGAGGATATCGAGATCTGTTTGGGGTATATCCATTGGCATGACCTCCATGATTATCGGTAGTATAATAACTATCGGGCCTTGTCATTCCATTTGGTCGTCCGTCACCACCACCATATTGGTTACTCTGTCTGTAAGGTTGTTGTTGTCCTCCTCCATAATAGCTCTGCTGAGAATACCTTAGTCGTTCGTCATTGTGCATTTGACTTGCTATATGGCGATCTGTTAGCGTATGTACGACAGTTGTCAACTTCACGCGCTGTGCGCCAAGAATCCACTGGAAGACGAAAATCGCTAGAGCATGCGAGATATCAAATTCCCATTCAGCTCATCGAAAATGTGCTCGGTTGGTGAATTGGCATTGGCCATGACCACAGACCACAGACCATAATAGTCTAAGCGCTCAAATCCAACAAAAAACAGGTATGATAACTGTGTTAAAAGTAGTGTGCAGAAAATTCTGCAAACAAGAAAATTGAGAAAAACAAATTGGAATGCACTAACCAGCATAGTAACTGTTACGTCGATTGTATGTTGAGCCTACCTCGGATTCTGTGAAGTGAAAATGTCAGAATTGATACGCCAAAATCTTGAGCACATAGAAGCTTGGGGATTCTTACCAGAACCGCGTATCATTGATTTTCTTGAAGAGTAGTTTCCATCAATAGCTGCCTCAAAGGCTCGAATTGTATCCAAAGGTCTCTCCCATCTGCTTCTCGTAGGATTTGAACGATCAGGATCCGCTACGTAGAAAAAAAAAGTCAGCGCACAAGAATTATGGTGAAATTGAACAAGACAACGAACCGATAGGGTTTCCCTGATTGTCTCTGTGTTGAATTGCTCGAATGGGTGCTAACGAAGTTGCGACGTCGTTTGCAACAGCAGCTGTGATGGAATCGTCAGTATGTGATTTATGAATCCCATGATATGAATGAGTACTCACAAGGTTCGGCTTCCGTCATGGCCAGAGATGGATCAGCTTTGGAATGAAGTCTTTTTGCTTCCTTCTCTCGGTGTGTTTCTGTGAGATCAACTTTCTGTCCACTGCCACTGCTCTTATGAGAATGTAAGCTGAAGCCAGATGAAGTCTTTGCTCTTTGGCGGTTCCCAGGCCGCTCTTGATTGCCCGGGGGCGAGGGTAGCGGCTGATTTTGGTTTTGCATATTTCTAAGTATAAGTCGATAAGTGGACAGTGATTGTCGCTGTTGTGGGTCTATTGCAACTTTTATCAAGATATTCTGAGCCTTATCGTCGTGAAACCTGGGTGTGGTGGAGTAATATCGAGAGGTTTGTAGGGATATTTGTGGAACTCTGAAATGAAGTTGGTCCTTTTGGTCTGAGTCTCGGTCGTGAACGTCAAAAGTAGGTGGTTGGGAATTTGGCGGCTTTATATCAAAAGCAGATATCCGTTTCACAGTGTTTGGATTAAGCTTGACGAGAATTAAAAACCTGATGTTTTGATAAATCGAACGACAGTAGTGGATAGTTTGAAGACGATCAAAAATGCGTTTGATGTTAAGCTTTCTTCCCCCCAAATAATCTCCAGATATAACGATTGATGGTTTCGTATGATGTGAATCAGATCTTGGATCGGAAGTACTGCAGCGAATGTATCTTTTTTTTTTTTTTTCCTTTTTCTTCTTCTTGTGGATGACCGATGAATGCAGATTTGTTTATGTTTGTTTATTTGCCCAGCTTTTTTTCTTCAAGCCTTCACACGTTGCGCACCTAATACGTAGTAGGTAATAGGAAAACGATGAATGGAGATGAATGGAGATGAATAATAAACGATTGATGAAGATTGAGAAAGGAAACAAATTGGTTTTTGGAAAAGAAGAAGAAAAGGGAGAGAGGTATAGAATGACAATACGACTACACGTACTTTACGCGGGGAGATGGAAAAGTTAATACGAAGCATTCAATGTTATTCAGCCACTGGAGGGGGGGTTTGGAAGCAAAATCAATATTCATCATCCATCGATGGATTCCAGACTAGGCCATGAGAAAAAGTATAATATTATTAGGTCTTGAGGGTATTTTGATGACGAGGAGCTCTTGTCCAAGTTGTTTAGTCGTTCGAACCAGTGAATAAAGCTTTTCGGGATTCGTATAGCTTCCTTGCCTTTTGAGATATCATACCTAGGTACCTACCTACCTCGTAATAACAATAAGTCTCTACCTCGCATTCAGGTACACTTTTAATTCGTTATTCAATCGTAAGCCAACAACACACCCAATGGACGTAGCAAGCAATGCTCTGTATGTTGTCCAACCGTAGTATCGAATGGCTTGGATGAAAATCCTTCAACCATCACCAATGAGATAGTGTTTCGCTCGTCGGAAACTTGGTTTCGATCCGAAGTCCAGCGATACAACAATGGCATTGCGACAGGATTCGTATGCTCTTTCGTTACCAAGCAGGGATGCAATGGAAAGGAAAGGAAAGGAAAGACAAGACAAGACAGGAAAAGGATACCTAGTAAAAGTGGTGGTGTGGTGATATGAATTATGAAATGAGGTAAAAAATCAAACGATAAGAGAATGATCTACCACTAGTCCCAAGAAAGTTATTTATATCCTGGTTCTTTTGGTGCTGTGCGAGGACCAGTGAAAGCATCTCGGATTCTGGGAGTTCGGGGATTCTGGGAAGTTCTGGTGCATTGCATTCAAAGCTTCCAACCAACGCAAATGAAGTAACAGTACCTCAGAATATTTCCTACAAAGTACGTAGGTATTCTCATTCGTATTCTTAGTCACACTATCAAGTTATTTTTAGTTTCCTTTTCATTTTCTTCACAATTCCAACATCAACATTGCCGCATTCTCGTTTTCTTTACCTAGGTAGGCAGTGCTAGGTAGCGTGACAACCCAACGGAGACTGCCATGTTTCCGAGCTTTATCTAACAATACAATACTCCATATATAGCCTCTAGAGAGGCTACGACTTTAGAGACCGACCTGGTTCATCGTAGTTGGACTCGAAAGTTTGAATAGGAATAACTACCTAGTAGTTATTCACCAACAACCCCCCCCCCCCTCCCTCCTCCATCTCCTCAAGACTCGAGACATATTCTAGAAGAGTAAAGAAATAATACCACTTCAAATGTATCAGACACTTAAACAGCTATCAATGCTAACATTACACCAAGCAAGCCATACCTGAACCCAATGCATCTTATCCCATCCCAATTCATCTCCATCAGCATATAGACACCTCAAATCAATCCTGTTTTCATTTTCGCCATCCATTTGTCCATCTACGATATCTATCCATCCATTCCATCATCCATCCATTTATTCATTCATCCATCCACCCCCAAGAATTTCAAGAATTTCAAGAATTTAATTGGATTAAATAAGGTGGCCCCCATAAAAAATGGTGGTGGCTGAAGAACTACTATACTAACTAACTAGGTAAAGACACGAACTTTCTTTCGTCTCCGCGATCAGCTCATCGAAAATCGGAAGTCTCGGTATTTCTCTTGTCTTGTCGTTTACATCCAATGTCATTGTCATCCACGTACAATCAATTTTGGCATACCGATATAACTATCGATCTATTCCATCTTTCCTATCTACAAGGTACCTACCTACCTTTCACTCAATCCATGCAACGACCGCTGAAATATCACATTACTGAATCCCACCTTGATCTACCTACCTACCTACCTACCTACTACTATGCCACGCTTTTTTGTCCTCACTATCCCAACTCGGTGATAATAAAACAAAAGTAGGTTCGGGTTTCAGATGGTGAAGGCTCAATAGACATCTTAACTGGAGGGGCGGGGGCGATTAGACTCTGAAACTCGTTATATGTCTCGATAACCACATGCAACTAACTCGAGGGTGGTTGTGAGCCAAACCTTCGTGTTCGATAAGATTGATTCCTTACCTATCTGTGCTTCTCCATACTCGAGACTCTTCATGAGATGATTGGGAGGATTCAGATCAAGATAAGATCGTATTTTAACACATAAAGCACTAAGAGTACATCAATGTGGGATATTCAGCTTGTGTGATATCTGTGTCTCGAAATCTGCAGCTTGTATTCTACGGGTGCCGTGAAATGTGGTATTGATACATAGAGCTGCTTGGGGAACATGTAGGTTGAAGAATTGGAGAGAGAGATGCATGAACATTGGAGGATGGGTGGATGGATCACTGCTAACCTAGCGGATCAAGTCTTTGGAATGAGACCTATGGATCACTTTGGGGGTGCGGAGTACGTAGATTTGGGGTCCCGGTCCAAGTACCGGTATTGTATTTTACCATTCCATCTTGACGTCAATATCCCATCTCTATAGTGCGTACCCAAGTCATTTTCCATGTACATGGCAGGATTGTCAAAAATCACTATTATCAAGAGCACTACTTTGCTCAGAGTCTCAAAATCGAAGTGTTCCCAGAATCCAGTAAAACGAGCAAACCATTGTACCAAACTTCGATTTTCGTTGTGAAAGCATAATTGACATGAGTAAGACCAAAAGATATAGGAGCACATTTTTCCATGTCGTTCTGGATGAAATTGTGAAACCTTTGATCGATAACTCCTGTCTACGTCTAGTGAAGATTTCCACGACGATCCCATATGCACTTTTAATCATATACCCATGCGGCCATTGTGGTGTTGAATTGCTTAATTGGTATACTACCCACAAGGCTGTGCTCATTATTGCCGCCCTCTTCGAGTGCCCAAATATGACATATCATCAACCATCCTCCCAGTCCATGCTAACAACTCCAAACCAACCATTTAGACCGATGATGGGTACAACATGATGCGAACGGATGCGCCGAAAGACTTAGGTGGGAGGTTTTGTCTGAATCTAGCACGTACGACACCGGAGTTTCCTTTGGCACAAATTAGTATTTGATTCCCAGCGGAGGAGCACATCGGATCCCTCATACCGTGTGGTCTAGCGATCTTTCCCCAGATAACTCTAATCTTTGATCCTCTAACCTCCTTTGATGCGCGGTAAACGAAAGCAACCTTCTTTCCGCAGTAGAAGCTGTTATATTGTTAGAATTGAGAAATGTTCCCATATCATGGTATAACCTACTTGGCAGCCTCGGTGTTGTTGACACCCTCGATTTGGATCAAGCTGGTGCCTGGGGTGGTGTTGCGCTTGCCGCGTTGGTAGCTCAAATGGCGTCCCCTGAAGATATCCATATCAGTATGTGTCCGATAATTCAACTCAAACAATCCATCTCAATCTAACAATCGAATTCGTAAGTGCGTTGTCGAAACCTCCTCTCCGTCAATCTCTGACCCCTGTCTCACTTCCAGCCTCCATATCGCTATTCGAATCCAGAGTATGCTCGTTGATCGGAATAAATTGTAAACTTACTTAACATAGACTAAAAACATATAACAGTCAGCAATTGATTCAAGAACAAACCGCGGCCTTGCTTAAGTGTAACAAGTTTGCCTCCGTCTTAGGAAAACTGCAACTTCGCAATTTTCCATCAACTACCTCCTCCTCTTCAAGGTCCGCACAGCCAATGCTATCTCGAAATCAGGGTTACTCACGTCTGTGTCCGGCTTCGGTAGGCATTTTGGCGAAAGTCTCTCGTGGATTTGAGAGGGAAGACTTCGTTCGGTTTGGCGTAAATGGTTGTCGGCGTCGAGGATGTTTTTTTCGTCTTTCCAGAATGCACACAATTCCTAGAAGTTTAGCGAAAAACTAGGGCTCCCAGGATATATGACTAAGCACCCAGAAGCGTGATTTCTTGTTCTCTGAAATTTAAGGTGTCAAGAAGCGGGGATTTGAACGGAAGAATTCTAGGAATGAGTTCCGATGTATCCATTTCGCAATCACATCATCATCAAGAAGAAACAGCAAAGGGAAAAAAGAAATGTCAACGTCGCTATAGTTTGCGAAGAGGACTATGCGAATTATCAATATCAGAAATTGTCGAAACCATATCAAAGGCTATTTTTCCAGTCATTTGGAAGACCAGGTTCCTCTTCTTTAGCACCATCCTCTCAGTCCTCTTGTAGAATCCAAGAAGGTAGCAGAAGAAAGTAAGAATGTGCAGAGTAAAAAGGTAATATTTTGTCTATTCAGTTGATGTTTCAAATCCCGAGACGATTTTCCCGAGTTTGCCTTGCGAGAATACTTGAGTGAACTGATGATGTTGATGATCGGTGGAGTATTTACTAAGGTAGGGGTGGATGAGGGACCGGCCGGAAACTCTCCACTCTCCAAAGTACCTATACAATTGTAATGATAATCCAAATGAGCTGAAACGGCATATCGCAAAGACATCCCATCCATCAAATCATCAAAGCCCCGAGTACGGAAGCACCGTTCTAGAGCCCCAAGCGACCATTGAATGCTAAATTAGCAATTCGGGTTACTGCCTCGCTTTGTTTTGATAGCAACATTGCTTTCGTGGAAAATGGCTTAAGAGGTCATTTCTAACGTATAATAATAGAGTAATACTTTGGGGGAGCTCTTGGAAGAGATCCATTGGCATTTGGGTACAGATTCACCGAGCATTACCATCAGTGCTATGCAACATGCTTTATAATCGGACCCGTAAGAAATCGAAGCCCCCCGTTCCAATCTTCCAAAGAGGGCATCGGTGATAAGTGAGGGGCGGTCGGGCCTTGTCAAGTAGGTAGAAGATGGATGGTATTGGATGCTACGGCGACGGATGAATGTGGATGTGGATGTGGGTGTGACGGCTGTGGATGACTATGACTATGACTATGGCAATGGCAATGGCTCTCAAATAAAGCTTTATAAAAGCTGCACAATAATGTGATAGCAAGGGTTAGGTACAGCATTGACACAGGAAGTCTTTCGAGTTCTCAACAGTGAATTAAATATTGAATCACATTCAAGAACAGAATCCATATAATCACCCAATCAATACCTAGGGACATATATATATATATATACATATATTTATATATGAGAGGTCAAAGAGCACCAGAAATTCACAAGGTTGGGTTGTGTACTTTAAACACAAGACAGGTCTGTTTTGGGTTCGGAGGCTACCCGGAAATACTTCTCGTCCGTCATACATACATACATCCCATCAATCTTAGCGGGGTCGAGTCTTTCATCAAAAGCGGACAAACCCAACATTTTTCTTGAGCTATTTCTTAAACTTTCAATCCTCCTTCACTCAAAAGTCTTGTTGATCCTCAGGAAAATTTGATTGTTTCTCCCTTTCTCGCTTTTTTCACATATCATAAACAACACATACAAAATGGCCGACACTGTTATCAAACCAGAGGAGTCTGGCAATGCTGGGTAAGTTGGTTCATTTCTTCAACCAATGTACTTCACGCATAGTCATTCACATCAACAACACTTCTCACCATATTCAAAATGTTCACTCCAAGGGGCTAACCCGGGTCTCTCGGACTGATGGATTTCTTGCTTTCCATTCTTTCTCTGGGCATCTCAACCCCATTTCATCCGAATAATGACTGATTGCCTTGCCCCACTACAGATCTCTCGAACTGAAGGACAACACTGTTATCATTGTTTTGGGAGCTTCTGGTGATCTTGCAAAGAAGAAGACTGTAAGCAAAATCCTCACACTTGGATTCTGTTTCTTGCTAACATATGTGATCGTAGTTCCCAGCTCTTTTCGGTCTCGTAAGTGGTGCAGAATACCTTTAGCCGATGATGCAATATTAATGCCACCATAGTATCGCAACCAATTCCTCCCAAAGGATGTCAGAATTATTGGATATGCGCGAACGAAGATGGATCACGAGGAATATATTAAGAGAGTTAGATCATATATCAAGACTCCCACCAAGGATATGGAACAGCAACTCCAAGAGTTCTGCGATATCTGTACATATATCTCTGGACAGTATGATAAGCCAGAGGGTTTTATCGAGCTAAGAAAACACTGCGAAGAGTTCGAAAAGGGAAGAAAAGAAGCCAACAGAATCTTCTACATGGCCTTACCTCCTTCCGTCTTTACAACAGTATCTCAACAGCTAAAGGCCAACGCCTATCCAGAGACCGGTGTTGCAAGAATCATTGTACGATACAAGATCTCCACACTAGATTCAATACCATTGCTGACAACTTGTAGGTTGAGAAGCCATTTGGAAAGGATTTGGGAAGTTCCCGCGAGTTACAAAAGGCATTGGAGCCAAACTGGAAGGAAGATGAGATCTTCCGTATCGATCATTACCTTGGAAAGGAGATGGTTAAGAACATTTTGATTTTGAGATTTGGTAACGAGTTTTTTGGTGCTACATGGAACCGAAACCACATTGATAATGTCCAAATCACATTCAAGGAACCTTTTGGAACCGAAGGCCGAGGAGGTTATTTCGACGAATTCGGTATCATCAGAGATGTTATGCAAAACCATCTTCTACAAGTCCTCACCCTCCTCGCCATGGAGAGACCAATTTCATTCTCCGCAGAGGATGTTAGAGACGAAAAGGTCCGAGTCCTTCGCGGTATTCCAGCAATCGAGCCAAAGAATGTCATCATTGGCCAATACGGCAAATCCTTAGACGGAAACAAGCCTTCCTACAAGGAAGACGACACCGTACCAAAGGATTCGAGGTGCCCCACCTTCTGTGCTATGGTTGCATATATCAAGAACGAGCGATGGGACGGTGTACCATTCATCTTGAAGGCTGGTAAGGCTCTTAACGAGCAAAAGACCGAGATCCGAATTCAATTCAAGGATGTCACATCTGGTATCTTCAAAGATATCCCAAGAAACGAGCTTGTTATGCGCATTCAACCAAACGAGAGTGTTTACATCAAGATGAACTCCAAGTTGCCAGGTTTGAGCATGCAAACTGTTGTCACTGAACTCGACTTGACTTACCGCCGCCGATTCTCTGATCTCAAGATCCCAGAAGCATACGAATCCCTCATTCTTGATGCTCTTAAGGGTGATCACTCCAACTTTGTTCGCGATGACGAGCTTGATGCAAGTTGGAGAATCTTTACACCACTCTTACATTACCTCGACGACAACAAGGAGATTATCCCCATGGAGTACCCATACGGTAAGAAATATTTACATTATTCACCCAATATTTTTATACCCAAGAAAATGCTAATCTGATAACAGGCTCTCGTGGACCCGCCGTCTTGGATGACTTCACCTCTTCCTACGGATACAAGTTTAGCGACGCAGCTGGTTACCAATGGCCAACTACCCAAACCGCTCCTAACAAGCTGTAAATTGGTGTGTTAATCGCCAATAAATGAATAACTAGACACCTGGTATGAAGGCATGAAATTGATAGATAGACACGACGATTCATGAAGGATTCCCATACACATATTTGGACGGTGGTTTTTCTTCATATTTATGATAGCTGAATGAAAAGCTAAATTTACATAATGAACAAAATGACGCTTTATTGGTGGGAGGTGATAAACAGATATTTTTGAACCACAATATCTCTTCTGTGGTCATACTCCTACAAGTCCATCCACAATAAGTCACAACTCGGAATTAAGAATTTGTAAATCCGAAGTCTTCTAGTGAAGACTTGTATCCATTTCATGGATTTGATTACTATGCCTGCAGGATAGGATGATCAGAATGAGAGAAGTCAAATTCATCATACACTCTCAATCATCACGGCACCTATTTTTTTCCCTACTTATCTTCCTCTCTAAGTTGCTCTAAGATTTAGAGTTGCAAATTAGTTGTGAGATGATTGAATGGTGGGAATGGTATGAAGGAAGATAAGCTGGGAATTCTTTAATCTTCGTGCTCTTGCAATATAGTATGTAAGGAAGTTTTAAGAATGAAATGGATTTCATTGCATTGCACTGCACTGGAATCTTCATGCGAATTGATTTTGGAGATGAGAATTGGATCGAAAGTCTTTGGTCTTTTATGTCCTTTCCCGGTACACGAGATGGATGAACAGAATTGTGATCATTGAGTTTCGGCGGATTAGTGGTGTGGAATGTGTGTGTAGGGGGGTGCTCTTTGAATAGAAGCAGCTCGGATAGATTTGTTGCAAGATTCTTGCCTTGTCTTCTTTTGCGTTGTGTCGGGTTGTGAGACTCACTGAGATGCGATGCGATGCGACGCGATATGATATGGCATCGACACATATGTTCGAGTACATAGCTTCGCAGATCTCTTATTTTCTGAAATAATTTGAAATTAAATGAGAGAAATAGGAAGCGGGAGAAATTATGATATGATATGATACGAATAGCTCTCGGGTAGGATAGGTATGCAGGGTAGTCCGTCTTTTACCATTGTGTGGAGCGGAACTTTGGGTCTACAGTAGTTTGTTATGTTTTGTTCTTTTGATCGTTAAGTTTTTGGGGAAAGAAAAGATGAGCTATGCATTATATGTATTCTACTCCTGCTACCATTCCACCTGACACAGTCTCTCCTGATAACCTCGCAATAAGCACATTGTGTACTCGAACACAAATCGACCTTTCCGTCTGTCTGTCGATGAAGGAAGATCCTTGATATCTAGTTGAGGAGATGAGATCATGGTATCTTGATTGGATTTTTAAAGATTTAGGATTAGATTTCAGAAGGAGATATACATATCTTTCATTCATCCATCCTATCATCTTCTACTCCTTTGACACAGACACGATGACTGCTGTGAGAGAATTCTCTAGCTGGTGAGATTTTTGTGTTTGGATTTTGGAGGGATATAGAGATAACCGATATCCCTATATCTTACACAACCCCATATTTTATACAATCTTTTTAACCTCAAAAAACATTAATTACGAAACTTATATTGAATCTTATATTAGTTATAAAAGATTATATATAATAAATAATAGTTTAAATTAAAGCTAAAGAAAAGTTTAATATAATTATCATTGTAAAAATTCATAATATCAATTATTTTATATTATATCAGTAATATAAAGAACAAATAGTTCTTTATATCTTTACCTATAAAAATATCTATTAATATTTTAATAAAGAGTAAGAAAAGGGTTTAATTAATTAATTAAATAAACTGATTTAAAGATCTATACTTTTTATAAATTATATAATTAAAAACTTAATAAAAGAGATTATAGATTAATTTATAAAAAAGAATTAGATAGTTTACTTTGTTAAAAGATATATAATATATTTTAAAAATCAGTATTTTTAGTATATTGATAATTTATATATTAAAACTAATAATATTGATTATTTTGAACATTTTTATAATCTAGTTAATACTATTTTCGATTTATTATTGATTTTTATTATATAAAAGCTCTTATTAATTCCTTTTATTTATTTATTTAGTTAACAAAAGTGATTACAAAATATAATATATTGTTAAAAAATATATATAATTAGGATAAAAAGGATTTTATAATTAGATTAATATACTTTATAAAGAGAATAATGAATATTAATGCCTATAAAAAAGACAAAATAATAAAAGCTATATAAAACAAATCTTAAGAATTTATTAGCCTTTCAGTATACATTTCTACTGATGATACAATTATACTATCTACTCTACTATATAAAGAGAAATCGGGGAATCTTTAAGATATATAAATTAATAAAGTAAAGGAAAAAGATAAAGCTTATTTCAAAATTTCAAATAATAAATAATCATTTAATACTTTTAACCTAACATAACTTCAAAAAGTATTTTAATATCATACACACCTAAAAGTAGATAAAGGATATCATCTATTTATTGTAGATAATCATTTTAGTTATATAAATATAGAGTTTATATTAAAATACAACAAATTAAAAATAATATTATTAATTTTACCATTATATTCTATATATCGACTTTAACCTCTTAATTATGGCCTTTTCCTTTTATTTTTGATAAATTATAGTATTGTTACGCCGGTCCATCCTCGGTACCGCGTCACATGACTCTTAGCACGTGATGGACCCTGCATGACAGGCATAACGGAATGTAGGTCCATACAGACCAAAGGTCCAGGACCTCTCTAGGTCCTGAACGCTCCAGTACAGTACGAAGGTCTATATAAGGGAATGGGATTTCATTACAATGTAGAGCTTCGTGCTCAAGAACAATCATTAGTTTCATTACTATAGTTACGAGAATTGCAACCAGTTACCAACCTTATTGAATTCCTACTTGAAGTCTAGTCTAAACCACCTCGAGAGATCTCTAGACACTTCCACGTGACCCTAGAGGCAGCTCCCGTAACAAGTATAGCATTGAATAATTTATTGTATAAAAGCAGGGAATTATTTGGAATTACAAAATAAAATTCCTGGATTATATTCAAAAGAGCTTAAATTTAAACTTGTATAATATATAATATACTCTTTTCCTTTAAAAAAATAGGTATTTATCCTATATATAAAAAAGCTATTATTATTAGTATCACATTTAAATCTTCTTTTATACCATCTATATTAATACAACTATATAAAAGTAAATTTAAGACCCCATATAATACAAAAACTTTTTATAAGTTCAAATTAGAATTTCAATATTAAAATAATTTTAATATTACTTTAAAGTTTTTTAAAACTATTTTTATTAATATAATTTAAATTAGTATTTAATTATATAAAGTAAAGGGGTTAGAAAAGGCTATAAAAATAGAAAAGAAAAAAAGGAATTGATTTAAAAGGTTAAACTTAATAGGAGAGGAAATAAATAAAGTATGTTTATATTCTTTTAATATTATTTTAAGAGTTAAGATATATTAATCCATTAAAGAGCTTATTATACAGTAGGACAAGGAAACTAAGAAGTTAAAGAAAGCTGAAAAGAAAGCCGAAAAGTAGAAGAAGTATTTAAAGGTGTAAAAGAGAGCTAGATAGAGGAAGGTTGATTGTTAAATTCTATAGGGTTTTAAAGAGTATAGTAAGAAAACTTTTAAAGTACTACATTCATCTATTAAGAAAACTAAAAGCACCTCAAAACTTTCTTTTATATTAAATCTAATACCTCAAAAAGCTATAGAGCTTTTAGATAATAGGGAAGTTAATATTTCAATAAATAAGGGGAAGGGGATGAAAACCAGGACTAAGAATAAACAAGCAATCATAATACCAATAAGATTTAAAATTTAATGATTTAATAATTCTATATAAAAATACTATACTATATTATAAACATTTAAAAGTTTCAGTTTATTATCTTATAAATTTTAATTATTATTAAATATTGAAGTTATAGTAGTAGTGAATTTGAGGTTGTGTAAGATGTAGGGATATCGGTTACTGGATAATGGATACGGATATGGATGTGGGGGTTGGGGGTTAAGAGTCTAGTTCCGATCTTGCTACAGTATATACTGGTTAGTTTGGAGTTGTAGTGATGGATTGGATGGATTGGGTATGTGGGTGTGGGTACTGAAATGGAGTAGATGCCAGGCGGGGGTGGAAGATGGAAAACCAAAAACGTAGGATTTCCTTTCCCTAGCAAACTTTTTGTAAACATGAAGATTTGAAGTGATGAAGTGAAGAAGTAATGAGTAGGAAATATAAAATATAAATGTATAACATAGTTCATTAGCATGTAGGCTATATCATCATATGAGCTAGTTTAAAAATGTATTAAAATCAAGGGTTTTTTGATAATCAGATTTTAAAAATTAATTGTTATTTTTGAAAAAGAAAAAAAATTATATTAAATATTAATAAAATAATAGTATTTCAAAGATCTATTTTTTATGAGTACATTCTTATTATATTTATATAAAAAAAAGGTGAATTTTATTATGTTTTTTATCACAAAAAGATTATTTTTATAATAATTACTAAATAAATAAAAATTCTTATAAAAATAACTAGATTTTTAAAATAATTCAAAAATTAGAATTTATATAAGACATTTTTTAACAATTCTATTGGCCAATAAAGAAAGTATATGATTACACATAAACGAATTTTGTATGTAAAATGAAGTGGCCTATATACTAATATGGCCTACATGCTAATGAACTACGTTAGAACATACCAAGATATATAAAATAAATCACAGCATAACATTCGACCTGCGTGTCTCGGCAGCCTCTCTCAACTCTCGAAAGTGGAGGTAGTCGGGTATTCGGTATTCGGGGTTACTTTTAACGATTATTTCCTGTGTGCTCTAGTCACGTTCATATCTTCCTCGCGTGTTGTATCACTTTATCATTTATTCTTCATGTACCGCCCCCTTTTCCTTCTCACTCATTTCTGTTGTGAGTCGTTGTATCATTTTTCATCTTCTGTATTTTCTGTATTTTCTAATTGTGTCTCTTCTTCTTTCCTGGCGCCATGCATGGCTTGTTCATATCAACACTAGTACCAACTCCAACCGCGACTCTAACCCCAACCCAAACCTCAACACCAGCTCATCTATCCGCACACTGGAAGAAAAGGGAATTCATACGGTATCTCTCGAGGAAGGAGGAATGATTTGAGATTGGTGAGATTGGTGAGCTAGAGCGTAATTGCATGTACTCGAGCCATGATCTGGTTTTCTAGGATCTGGAAATCTGAGTTTATACACCATATTTGTATACATGTGTATATGATTTCTCTCTCCCTTGTCTACTTGCTAGAGATGTGGGTTTGGTGCGCGTACTCGAGTACTCATCTTTCTGCAAAGGGGCTGGGTTTGAACTCGGGGTTCATGTACACGCGCATGGGATTTCTATCTCACGTTTCTGCTTGTTTGTTTGTTTGTCTTGCCGGTATGGGGTTGCTGCATGCACGTACTGCATATGATACTTCGACTAGGTACATGAATCATTGAAATCCGGAGGTTCTTGTGGTTTTGATCCGTCTCCATCTGAGTTGTTGTAATATTGAGCTGCTGAGTTGCTGAGATCTCGACGTAGATTAGTTGAGATTAGATTGTGCTGGGTTAGATGTGCTCTTGGATATACAAGGATAAGTGTAGGAAGAGAGGTACCTAGAGAGAGAAACTATATATGTATTTTGTGGGAATAGCATTCGAAGCTGTGATCACATTAGCAGTGGATATTTATTTAGATCTAGACCTTAAATATATGCGGCCTGACCATATTAGGCGAATAAAAAGGGGATGAGTATTTGATATTAAGGGAGTGGGTAGAAAGAGAAGGGGCATTGAATAGTAGTTGTAAATATCCATTTAGATAAGTTTTGAAAGTGAAAATTGTAATGTTAAGCCTTTTCATATATGGTGTATTGTGATGTGTATATTACTCATAGGTGTAGTTGTGTAGTTGAGTTCATGAACAAATATCCATTGATGTGCCATGTATTCGTACAATATAATATACATAACGCTCAAACCCTTCTATTCATACATCCTATCCATATCCATATCTATCATACACTGTAATTCCTTCCTGATACCATCAACACTTTCCATCTAATCCAAATCATGTCCCTATCCCTATCCCTATCCCTATGCCTGTCCCAATTCCACAATGGTAACGAACACCTGATCATTCGCTGCACCAAACCAACCCAGGATTCACAATTTCCCCTTTCGAACCTTCACTTCCTAATTCCATCTCACTTCGACTTATCCGTACCGTTTATTAAGTTATTGAATAACTTGCCCACGACCGATGGCTACAATCCACAAATGTTAGCCAGGATCCAAAGTTTTTGTCTTCACTTGAATGTCTTGTTTTCCACAGTACTTCATCCCTCTATCCTTTTGATTGTCACAAAGTAATTCATCCAAGACCATACACCCGCCTCCACACATCAATAACCCCCAGACTCTCCATTCCACTTCAACAAACCTGTCCCCTTCCCTCTCTCCTCCCCTCCCCTCCCCTTCCACAACAACAACAAAAAGAAAAAAAAAGAAACCTCTCACCTCAACCCTCTGATCACTAATTCCCTCTCTAAACTTCTCACTCCCCACCCCCTGCTCCACCTCACTCCCCGGTTTCTGAGATTGCGAACCTAATGCTGATGCATAACCCGGTGTGTGATTATTACTTGCGCCAGCGCGGGAATATGCTGCTTCTATATTTCGGACTGGGTTGAGAAATGAGTAATGAGTTGTGTCGATTAGATGAGTTGCGGGTATGAGAGAGAGAGAGAGAAGGAAGAAGGAAAAGAAGGGAAAACAACTTACCACCAGGAGTTTTAAACGAAGGCAACAAATTGCTGATAGCAGATGTGGTTTTCATATCGTCGTTGGAGGCGGAGTTGGTGTTGGACATTTTGTTTGTTTTTGTGTGTACCTCGTCTGTGTGTATATATATATGTCTGAAATCCTAATATTCAATTCCCCAAACACAAGAGTAGTCTTCTGAATAAATGTATAGAAAATAAGTATAAGATAGATAGAAGTATAACAGGTAGCAAAGAGTAATTCGAATATAAATTTGTCTTGGGAGAGAGAAATAAATATAGATATAAACAGTCCAAGACGAAATAAACCAAGAAGATATTAATACCCTCCAAAACACAGAAGGGAGGCGAGAACTACCTACCTAGTATTCCTCCACTGGGTGCTCCCAGATCTCAAACCCAAACCCAAACTCAATCCAGTACGGTTCGGTACGGTACCTGATACCATCATACTAAACAGACAGACCGGTAGGGTATTCTCTATGATCTACTAGGTAGAAGGCTAGTAGCTCTACCCCAACCGTAGAAAGCCTATTTGAGTTATCTGCAAACAGGGTATGGGATCTCATCTGCGTAGTATTTAGCACACACATAGGTAGGTTGTGAGTAGAGACTTTTCTTCTACCAGGTACGTACTCATCATATAGTAGTATATCAAATCATATAATAGTATATCAAATGATATCAAATCATATTACAAGTACGAATACCCACCTCCCCTACCCACCTACCCTCTCTGGCCTACCCTTCTATCTACCCATCCCCTCTATCAAAAACCCCATACTTCCACCTAAAACCCCATAGCAATGAAACACAGTAATCACCGTTCCATCAAAACATCTCACACCAAAATCAACTCGTCATACATTTCCCTCCCATCCCCTCCCCTTCCCCTCCACATCCCCACTCAAATCCAAGATTTCCACAAACGGTTCAGGCCCCCACGGATCCATGGTCCAATATCCAAATATCCATCCCGGTACTAGATACCCGGAATTCGCTAGCGTGGTCCCCAAATGAAGATCTGATGAATGATGAATCCACTCTTTACTTCACTCCTCGATTTGAATTTTGGTGTTGTTTGTTGCTTGTGAGTTGTGAGTTGTGATGTGTTGAGGATTGGGAGTTGGGAGTTGAGATCAGGAGTGGGTGGTTTGGATGGGAATTGGGAATGGAATTATATAGCATCTATTGATGATGTTGGTAGATTTCAGGAGTGGGAATATGTGTATATGTATATGTTTGGAGTGTTAACAATCAACAATTATATTGTTTGTCGATAGAACTCGTTGTAGAGTGCAACATATCATCAGGTATCTATGTGAATACAAAAATAGATGAATATGTTTTAAAATCGTTTTCGATATCAGTTAATAATTTATCATCACAAGTAATCCATATCGCCCATCTCCATCGCTATCCCGTCTTCCAATCGCAAACCCAAACACCGTTCATACTGCATCGCTAGCAATGTCAAATGCTCGCCCGCTATTGTTGTAAATCGACCTTATACCTCCTCTACCGTTCGCTGTACATTCCATCTCTTAACGCCTGTGCTAGTTTCCTCAATCCACCCTCATCCTTATTTCTTTTCATATTCATGTTTAGCATCCCCGGCATTTTGTCCTCGCCCTCATATCCTCAAACACCCATTTTGATTTACTGCCCCTTGACAATTCTACATTCACAAACATTAGCCCAAATTCAATCCCCTCAATCATGAGCTTCCCTATACCCCTCTTCCTTCTCACTCCCCTCCCTCAAACAGCACAACTATAAAGAATCATAAAACTTACGAATTCCACATCTGCCCTACAAATCCAGCTTTAGGAGCCTGCTCTGCAAAACTCTCTCGTCTAGCCTTTGAAGCCGCGTCACTGTTGGAGCGTTTCTGTGCCTGCAGACCGGCGAAGAGTGTACCTTGAGAGCTCTGTGTGTGTTGTTGATTAGTGAGGGGTTCTAAACTGGAGTTGGATGGAGATTGAATGGATGAAAGAATTGGTGTGATGTTTGTACATTGTGTTTGTTCATCTTGAAATGAGAACAGTGGAAGGGAAGAGGTCAAGATAGCTTTGGGAAGGAAAGCGAAGAAGAGCTGGAAACATACACGTCTGTAGTTGACATTGTTGGCTGGAGTAGCAACACTGCCAGTTCCTCCCTTGACTGCGGTTGTTTGTTGGGAATTCATTGTTTCTGGTTGGTGGATGATTGATGGATGATTGATTGATTGATTGAAGTGTGTTGTATTATATTGTGGTATTGCTTTGTGTGAGAAGTGGTCCAGAAGATTGTTGTTGATGTTGAAATGTAGATATCTTAAACCATACGAGAAAAGCTCTCCTAATATACTTCTAGACCTGTCTACTTTCAAAGTTTCCACCTCCCCTCCAAACCCCTCCAGCTTCATGAGCAGCTAGATCCAATAGCATACGATCCGCAACCCCCTTACCAATCAAACTCTATCTTCACCTATCAAACAAAGGAGATCTTGGAAAAGGAATGACACTGTGGTCCAATCAATCAATTCCTAATTCTGATTCATGACATGTTTTTTCGATCTTCGATCCTGTACCACCAAATCATGGCCAAATATTGGAATACGCATCTCACGTCAAGGTATCACTGTACCCCGCGAACCTGGCGTGATTGTCTGTCTACCTTGTACTTTACTAGACATGCATGTACATATATGGAAAATCAAGGGTCTGACTCTCTTTCATCCAGTTGATGTGGAGGTAGTATTATGAACGTGTTCAACACAAGGTTATCAAAGCAAAGCCATGTATGGTCGTATTCGTACTGTTATCTAAGCAGGGAAGTATTAATCTAAACTTTTATACTTTTATGCTTTTATACTTCTCACACCAGAGCATCATCATACCTACTACCTACTACCTAGGTATCAAAGAACAATTCAATGGGAGATAGAAATCGAAGTCTATGGCGGTCCATCGATCGAGCACGAGCATTGATTCCAATTCCAATTAGATGGTGGACTTGGAATGTGGGGGGATCCATTTAAACCAATGACGAATGGACTACCACCAAAAGAGAGAAAGTTTGGGGTAGCGCTAAGGTTAAACCCTCGATCATAGGTGTTTTAAAGTTCCGATTGCCGTCTTTGATTTTCACTCCCGTCTGCTGTTTCTGATATCGAAGATTCAAAGTATCCTAGAGAGTTAAGTAGGAATCGATCAATTGATTTTCTTTTTCCAAATAGTCTGCCTCCACGGCAGTGGCTCTCAGAGAACCAGCGGAGCGTCACTCCCCATTTTTTCATTCTTCATTTCATAATTTGACAGCTTGCATGACAATATGGGGCCAAGCCCCCAAACCCCCTTTTGCTCGCTGCGCTCGAGTTTCTTTTCATATCTTCTACATTCCAGTTCCATATTGCAATGCACAATCTATTGGTGGAAAAGAAAGGAAGAAAGAAGAAGGAAACAAGATGGTCCACCGATTCAACGACAGAAAGCTTGACTATGATACCGATCTCTTTTTCCAAAAATCTCTCGAGATCAAATATTCCTAGTAATCTGGGCAAGTTGGGCAAGTTGATTGGACTTCTAACTTCCAGCTCTCAAACATCAAGAAGATAAGGAGAATTTTGAGTAAAGCTAGTAGATACCTAGTATGCTCCACGATACCTTTACACACTTGTGCAGTCCCAATTATACGGCAAGATACCTTATTGCTCACAGATTGGTGTTTGTTCAAAGGTATCGTTGAATACTTTCGAAGTTCACAAGATCTGGCATAAGTTGAGGGTGTTGAAGAGTGGTTTTAATTTTGCTATAAATTTATTCTATTGCACATCCATCAATGAATCTAGAGCAATCTAGAATCTCGTACTCTTGTTTTTCAATGCGCTGAGGCAAAAAATTGCTATGCTTGGCTCATGTGTTCCATCGCTCGGTTCCAGTGTCCGGGATATCACACCCGCCTGTTCAGAATATCACCAACAAGCAAGTTAAAATGTGAGGTTGGTGTGAAGTTTGTTTTATTTCATATCACAAATATGCAATCAGCACTTGCAAGAAAAGCCGGCAAGCCGGTCGGTCTCTAAGGCCGCAGACTTGATCCGAATAGGAAGCAAGCTGAACAGTTGGATAAACTGCTTCATTGTAATCTGATCCGTAGATGCAGTAAAGTACAACCAATGATGCCCCTTGTTTTCCTGTCAATAACTCCATAAGCCCACGTTACGACAAAATCCTAAAGAACTCGCCGAATCGATACACTCGAAGCCCATGCCATATTTTTTTTGATTGAAACGCTTATCTGACGATACCCTCGAAACGGTTCTTGAACCATCTAGTTTGAAATGTTAGCATAATCCTTAACATCTAATTCTTCAGTGTTTACATAATTTGACGGTCTCATCACGCTTGATCTTGTGGTTGGCACCGATGGAGGTCTTGCAGCGACGACGCTTGGCAACACGCTCACCTGGGCGGGTCATGCAGGCGTAGAAGTCCATTCCGTAAATACCGATCGCAGGGTCGTACTTGATACCGAGATCGATGTGTTCAGAGATACCGAAACCGAAGTTACCGGTCTCGGAGAAGTTGCGCTTGCGGAGCTCATATTCCTTGACCTTCAATCCACGCTCCAAAATTTCCTCAGCCTTTGGGCCACGGACGGTGACGTGAACAGCGATCTTTTCGTTACGACGGATACCGAAGGTACGGACGGTGTATCTGGCCTTGCCTATGGTTTCAAGAGTTAGAAAAATATCCAATCAATAATCGGAGTAATTGGTGTATGCCTACTGTAAACTGGGGTTTGACCACTCAATTGTTCCAAAACTTTGGCAGCACGGGTAAGTCTGTCACCAGATTCTCCGACGGAGATGTTGAGAACGAGCTTCTGGATTTTAAGCTCCTTCATGGGGTTGGCGGTCTTCTCTCCGGATGCAGCCATTTTGAATGATGCTGTTACGATTAGTCGTGAGGAATTGTCGGGTTTTCGTCGTGGGTCGTCAAATTCAAAAACAAATTCGAAAAGGTCCAAAAAGTTATATTCGCTAATAAGTGAGCAAACCCTAAAAGGTGGGCGACGATGTTTAGGTAAGCATTTCTTATAGCCTCGAGTTTGAGGCCTCAATACTTTTTCATTTGAAGCTCGAGCCAGCCTTGTACAATCTTGAAGAACCTCATATCAAGAACTCATATACTCATAAGAGAGCTGTGAAGTCAAAAGAAGTCATCGAACTTCTATACACATTCTTTGAAACCCAGAGAGCCGTAATAACGCGCACTCAAGTCATCATCATGGCGAACAAGCAGGGAAAGATGGTGAGTTCAATAACCCCCTTCTTAAAACCATTACAAGCTTGTGTTGACATTATAGGCTGACATTCACTCTTTCTACAGGCCGGTCTCGTATGTGATACTCTTAATTGCAGCTATTACAGCTTTGCGCGATCCTTTCGACCTGACATGTGGACTGATTGAGATATAGATCAACTACCGGATGAGAGTGACTATGAATGATGGGCGTCAGATGGTTGGACAGATGTTAGCATTTGATAAGGTCGGGTTCCTATGCATCAATCACAATGGGTTATGCTGACTGTTCAATAGCATATGAACCTCGTTCTCGCCGATACCGAAGAATTCAGACGCGTCAAGCGCAAGGCACCAAAAAGCACAGCTGCCCCTGGAGCTAGTTCCGCTGCACCACCTCTTGTTGAAACCGAAGAAAAGCGTACATTGGGTCTTACTATCATCCGGGGCACACACGTCATATCTCTTTCTGTCGAATCGCCACCACCAGCAGACCCAAGTTCTCGTTTAGGTGCAAGCGTCCCAGGTGGTGCTGTACCATCAGCTGCTATGGCTGCTGGAACTGGAATTGCGAGACCAGCTGCTGGAAGAGGGGGTCTGGCTGGTCCTGCTGTTGGAATTGGTGGTTTTCCGGGTATGCCAGCTCCTCCGCCATTTGGGAGAGGTGCACCACCTCCAGGATTTGGTGGTGGATTCCCTCCTCCAGGTTTCCCTGGTCCACCTGGTCCACCAGGAGGTTTCGCTCCACCTCGCAGATAGATATCTGAAGAATAATGGGTTACACGATCATGTCAAATTGAATCTTAAAGAATATTCTCAGAGGAGCATGCTGCATATAAACTGATGAAGGGTCAAGGTAAATTGAACATGATGATCGGTGAAGAAATAAGAGAAGAGAGACCCAAAGGAAACTCATGGACATGCATGATAGGTTCAATGCAGAGAAGGTTACATTCAATCAGAATAAAGGCGTTGAGGGGTGGCTTTTGACTTCACATACCAAAATTCGCAAATTTGTAGCATAAAAGCAAGCAAGCAAAGCGACAACGCTAATTGAATTCTATAAAATTTTGCACATTCTCCCCATGCCGGTGTTGTAGTTCTCACTCACGAAAATCGATTCAATCTTACCATTTTCTATTCTCATTTTCCCTTAATACTCACCCATCAAATTTCAGTCCCGTCGCCACGTGACACAACCTCAAAATATAATCTCGGACAAATTCATGGTAAATCCGATCCCAGCAAGTAGTTCCGTCCGTCCCATCAAAACCTCTTTTGGCAGCTGGGTATCAAACAACAACAAACACATCACCATCCAGAATACCTCGATAAATATTCAAGATGGCTGCGTTGGTCAAAGCTATTAATGCGAAGATTCGTAGTAACCCTGCGGTTAGCTATGTATGTTCTACTCGTAAGTTATATTATTCTTCTTGAACTCGGAAAGAGGGAAGGAGGGAGAGAGCTGGGGTTTCGGGATGGGTAGGCGTTGGGAGGATCACATTGAGAGCTGTGTAGAGAACTAGAAGTGATCGGGGGAGGTGAAGATTGATTCCAATATTGGAAGGATTGAGAGCGAGAATGAGGAGAATGGGTGGGAATTGACGGGCCAGAGAAACTCGGATTACAAAATCCAGATTTCGCATTCGCAGCTTTGGAATCTCACAGAGCGTATGGAATATATACATGAGATTACCTACTAACACTACAATCAGATTTCTGGGGTCCAGTCTCCAACTTCGGTATTCCTATCGCCGCAGTAATGGACACACAAAAGAGTCCTGATTTGTATGTCTTTCTCTTCTCCCCTCTTCTAAATTTAGATTCAAATCCGTGAAAACAAGTAGCTAACAATCTCTCTGCAAATAGGATTTCGGGTAAAATGACATTGGCACTTTGCATTTACTCCGCAACTTTCATGCGCTACTCCCTCGCTGTCACACCACTTAACCCTCTTCTCTTTCTCTGCCACTTTGTAAACGAAGGCGCACAACTCACGCAGGGATACAGATGGATGCAATACCATCAATGGGGAGGCAAAGAGGCCGAAGCCAAGGCAAAGATTGGAACTGGGGTAGAGGGTGTTAAGGAGAGTGTTGTGGAGGCTGTAAAGAAGGCTGAGGCAAAGGTAGAGAAGGCCGTTGGGAAATAAATCTGCGGCGTGGAATTTGAGAGAGGGATGAGGAAGGAGAGGAGAATCGGTGAGGTGGAGAGGCGCTTTGCAACACTGTACTCGTACATTGGGTTATGGGCTTTGGGAGATGCGGATGCTGGAGTATCAAAATGATATCAGAGAGTGCGTGCGTGCGTTTGTGCATTTAACCTAGAGGGGGCAAAGCAATTCAAAAGATGAAGACAGACAGACGGATGATGGATGGATGGATGGAATTTTTAATGCAATTACGAGCTGATACCTATTCAATAAAAAGATCACGATTTTGCATTTATAAATTTGGCCGAGGGAGTCTGTATATGTTCATGGCATTGATGTCTTATCAAATTGTGAGCCGGTTTTCTTCTTAAGGCTTGTTCATTCACTCCTCACAAACATCATAGGAGACTGAACTTTCGAATGGTCTTCAATATACGGTTAGGTAGATTCCAAGTTTGTTTAACTCGACTTAAGACGGTATATGTGTATTAGGTAGGTATATATACGCATTGCACACAAGACAAGTATCTAATCTAATACAAGCTATACAACAATCCGGCCCGGAATCATTCAAATACGGAGGGGACGGTGATTAAGAATCAAATCTCCCCAGCGGCGAGAACCAAGACATCTGTTGGTTAACAACTTAACGCGTTGGTCTGCGGCACGGAATTCTGGGGATCTGTGGGTACTAGGTGGTGGTTTGGTGAGGAGATATATTTGGAAAGGGGAATGAGAAGGGGGGTGAGGTGAGGTGAGGGGTAAGAGGTAGGAAAGCAGATAGGTTGATACGTTGATGGGAAGAGGGGATGTGGGAGTCGAGGATGGAGTTGAGGATGGTGATGGGATGTGAAATGATGGGATTTCGATAGGGCTGATGGGAATTATCAAGGTGACGAACAGTGGCAGGAGAGGAGGAGAGCTCGAGGAGAGGTCGAAAAGGGAGAGAAAACCCCACGTGAGAAGAAGGAGTAGGAGTAAGGGTAAAAGAACAATATACTCTACTTTACTCTACTCTACTACATTGATAGCAGATAGGTAGTTGGTTAACGAACAGATAATAGAGATTCGTATTAACCTATAGATACCTATCTCATGTGTATAGATGGTGCGAGTATGGATTATGGTATTGTAAGATATCGCAATATATCGCACTATAGCAATATCAATTTACCAGAGGAAAAAAAACAGAAAATGCAATGATTTCTAATAGGAGAGGAGATTTCCTTGGTTGGTGAATACGAGGCGGTATATATAAGGAAATACTGGAAAGAAGGAGACATATTGTATTGTATTGTATTGTATTGTATTGTATTGTATGATTACAAGGAAAGAAAGAAAGAAAGAAAGAAAGGAAAGAGGATCTTGATTCTAATTTCAGTATTGTCTATTATATTAGAAGTTAGAACCTAGGAGAAGGGTGAAGTGGTATGATGGGATGATGAGGTTTCGGCAATGTGACGCTGAGATGTCTGATTAGATTGACTTTTAAGATTGCGGAGGCTTGGGTATTTTGGGAAGGTATTTGTTTGTTTGGATGTGTGTGGTAGGGATGGGTGGTTTGTATTGTATTGGGAAATGGGGGAAGAGGAATGAGGGAAATTGGGTTGGGAAGAAAGAGTAGCAGTGAGCGAGTCCCTTTGCAACTCCATTCCAAGAACCAAAAATCAAAGTCCAACAATCACAGATCAAGAATCAAGCAACACGAAAACCGCAAAGATAAAATATAAGGTACTAGGTATTCCTCCATTTTCATTTTCATCGAGCAAACAATCTAGCCAGCGAATCTTCTCACTCCCGATTCCTAAGCATATTGTATTCCGCAAATTGCATCCAGCAATATTAATATAGATTTCAAGTCCAGCTTCTTTCTTTTCAACGAGTGGGGTTTCCTTTTTGATTTCTCTGGGGTCTTTCTGAGTCCAGGTATCGTTGGAGTGGATGCTTTTATCCTATTTATCTTTTCATCTCTCTCCCCTTGTTTGTTTCATCCTCTGATGTACTGTGGTAGTGCAGTGCAGTACGACCCCCAGCCTCTTCACCCACACCTTCATCCATCCATCCATACACTTTAACGGTGAAAGTAAAAAAAGAAAATTGTAAACGACTGCAGCGTTATAGGGAGTATCTTCCAACCAGCCAACCAAACTCCGTACATCAGAAAAATAGAGAAAACAAAATAAATGTCAAGGAACAATATAAAGTATGGGTGTGTGATGTGTATGTCCTAGACACCAATCACACACAAGAACCCAAATTCAAATCCAAGTCCTAGCCCAAGAATTCCCAAAACTATCCACCCATCCCCCTCACCAAATAATCGAATAAATTATCTACATTCACACCTCTTGTTCCCCAACAATCCTATCTCCCCGAACCGGGAAGCGGACTAGCATATGCACCGGGTATCGGTACACTAGCATAAGTTTGTTCGCCCGGCGCCGCATCTACATGTTCCACAACTCTGTGTTGTTGTTGCTGAGGTGGTGGCGGCGGAGGAGTCTGAGCTTCGAATCCTCCCTGCTCCATCTTCGGCGTGGCGCTTTGTACTTTAATCGGAGGTGGTTGTAGAGTAAAAGGTTTCGCTGCAGTCATTGCAGCATGCGTCTTTGCCTCTACAAATCTCGTTCCATTGCCTTCCTCGGCATCTGGACCATTCTGATACGCGCTCGGTGGGAATTTCGGAGATTTGGCATATTGGGAGTAGGAAGGGCTCATGGGGCCAAAACCAGGCGTGTTGGGTGCAGATTGCGAACGGAGTTGAGCGAGGTAGAGATCTGAACGAGCGCGATCGCGAATGGCCATGGACTTGCGAAGTCGTTGTTTAGAATAGTAGCGGTAGAAGACGACGCCGTAGATGGCGATGGTGATAGATTCGAGGACGACTTCGATGATGCAACAGACGAGACCCCAGGACTAGAGTGAATATGTTAGAATGAATTACGAGCTGAAATTAAACGAGGAAGAAACTTACTTGCAATCGGCAGACTAGGGCATAGTCCACTTCTTCTTGGAATACTTCTCGTCTTTTGTTGTCGACGCATGACCAGCCCCAGATATCTTTGTTATCTCCAGAGTTTCTTGCACCTTGTAAGATACCAGCTGCTACTGCCCACATAACTGTACTGAAAATGAAGTAGGCGACTGCAAAGAGGGTATAATAAACCGCAACCTTCTCTGCTCGCTTGTGACCTCCTCTCCAATAATTGTAAAAGACAACTAGACAAAGCGCAAGTGATATACAGAATACTGAAAGAACGACTATTTGAGGCCAAGTCTTTGTACCCTCTGCCCAGGGCGGAAGATTGCTTCGGGATGGTAATGATTTGGTTGCGTTGAAGATGGTGACAGAAGTTGAGATCATAGCGAGAACGATGAGACTACAGCTGAAGTTTACAAATCTTAATAGTAGCTTTGCTATTCTGACTCTGGTCTTGACTTTCTGTTCAATTGTTAGTATGAATCAAGATCATTATCTTGAAGATTCTCATACCAAGTCCTTGACTTGTTCCTTCTCAGTCAATTCCTCATGCTTCTCTAGAACCTGTTCCTCTCGAAATGTCGGACTTAATGGGTTCATCATTCTTCCCGGCGTACCGGGTACTCTCAATGCGCTTTTTAATGGTGATGATGGTGTAAGTGGCATCTCGACCGGAACACCTTGGGATTGTCTTTGATTATCCGATATGTAGCCGAAGCCAATATCAGAGGGTTGTAATTGAGCCATGTATGCTTGAGATTTCTGGGAGTGGGAATCTGCTGTGCTTGGAGGGTCTGCAAATGGTGATCTCCTATCATCTACAGGAGAATATACAGCCGTCGCTTCGGCGAATCTGGGTGTTCGAGGAACTTTGAGTGATGAAGCTGATGAAGCTGTTGATGAGTCGCTAGAGGATCGTGGCTGTGTGAGAGGAGGTGGACGCCTCTTGTTTGATGGTGGTGCTAAATAAATCTATGAGCATACGGATACATTAACGATAACTAACAGTCAGACTACTAACATGACATTGTGATGAATTGAAAAGGAAGGAAGGACAAATTGACGCAAGTTACTCGAGTATACCGTGAGGCCAAAAGAGACTTGACCAAAAGCACTATCAATGGAAGTGCAAGCAAGTGAAATGGTTAAAGGAAGAAAAGGTTGTACAATTAGAGACCAGCTACCAAGGGAGAAAAAAAGACAAAACAGTTCTTGAAGATGAGGGGATGCCGTGGGGTTTTGTGTAGCGCGCGCAACAACGATAAAAGCAAGAAATTGGAATAAAATACCAGGCTTCGTACGACGGTTTGAAGAAAGCGGGAGACGGAGAGCAATGATATGACTTGTAGATCAGATGCAGGACCAGGATATCGGACACCTAGTGGCCAAATATTGGCCTCGCACTAGAGGGAAAGAATATGACTGGATGAATGGTGGGGTCTAACCTTACAGATATTGGGACCGAAATAGACGCCCGCTGGTAGTGTGCATCAGAGATGCGTTTTTCTATTCGCACGAACTAGACAAAAGTAGAAAGTGTGTGGTTCTACCCGTAGATATATCGTCTAGATTGTTGGGGGCAAGAACTGCGGTCTCAACACAAGGCTGCGTGAGATTTAATATCAATGATTCGACATTTGTTGGGTTTTCAGCCACGAGAGAAATATCAAACATACAAAAAAGATACTTTTGAACATACAGCAAGAGATAGAGAAAATTGAAAACGATATAGAAGACAGAAAATTACAAGCAGAAATTACACGGGTAGAAGCAAATGAGTAAAGTGGTACTACCCATCTCTCATCTTTTTTTTTTGGCGCCCACTCTTCACCACACCACCACTCAGGACCATTTTCAGACCTGGTCTTTATCGATGATTTGCAGAGCGGGGGATTTCAATTCCCTTCAATACTCCCGGGCTGACCTCTTTGGCACTGTGCATCTGCATATTGGATGTGTGAAGGGTGCGAACCAGGATATGATTGGAGGAAACAGATATTAATGCTTGAAGGAAAGACATGCGAGTGAGAGTGAAAATTGAATCTTTCGGCTATGATTTGTTAGTGATGTCCATGCTGCTTTTAAATCAGAGCATGGTGTGCACGATGAATAAACAGGGGATCAGAAGCACAATTGACAATTGATATATTGTTTCCAGAGTTTTGGATGCATTCGACAATTGAGATCAATCTTACACAACTAAAACAGCAACTCCTCCCCCAGCCTATCCGCATTAGCGAGGACTAGCTCGGGCGGCAAACAAGCATACTAAGGATATCAGCACCAATCGCGATTTATCCATCCTCCCCTTCATCAGCA